GTGTTCTCAACATTTGAATCGGTTGTGGTTTTCTGTAAAGGTTTTTACATCTGTTGCAAGATGTTTCTTGATGAGGGGTGAGACCTATACTTCTCTGTAGGTATAAGGATAAACATATTGAATGTATTTAGGATTATGCTGATTTAATAAAGTGTCAGTTGTAGGTTCTCCTCCAAGATCCATGACTTTCTGGGTAGTTAGCTAGGTTTCTAATACCAAGTACAACTTTCCTTTTGTTGAGTGGGTCTGAGTCCAATTAGAGAGTTGCTGGTTACAGTTAAGGTATGTGTGCCACTACTGCACCCTTACGGATATCACAAATGCTGGTCATTGTTTTATTTAGAAGGCAGCATAGCTGGTTAAGACTACTGGGTGGTTCCTCCCCTGGAAACTTACATGGAACAATATGCTTCTTCAGAAGTGGTTTTGATCCTATGTAACTTTTTCAGAATAGCTCCAGATGTCTAAGAATTAAACATGCAAAGGTGATTTGGAAAGAAATGTATTGGAAGAAACACACACACACACACACACAGTGTTGCTTGCTACACTATATGGATGCATCAGTACTTTTTAAAAGAGTCTTCTTTCTCAAGACCCTCACAGAAGCACAGCTGAGCATTGTGACCCATGCCTGTAATCTCAGAAGTTCTGAGGTTAAGGAAAGAAGATTGAGAGTTAGTTCAAGACCACCTGAGTTAGGCAGTAGAGGAGAGGTGTAGGGGGAAAGGAGGAGGGACTAGAATCATGTAAAAAATAGGTCATATATATTTACACATGTACACTAATTATTCATATAAAATAACAACTTTTTTTTGTAAAAGAAACAACTTATTCTGAGACAAGTTGAAGTGACCACACATTGTGTAGAAATTTCCTTCAAGTTAAAACATTCTTTCTGGAGAGATGGCTCAGAGGTTAAGAGCACTAGCCATTCTTCCAAAGGTCCTGAGTTCAATTCTCAGCAACCACATGGTGGCTCACAACCATCTGTAATGAGATCTTGTGTCCTCTTTTGGTATGCAGGCTTACATGCAGGCAGAACACTGTACACATATAAATAAATAAACCTTTAAAAAAAACAAAAACCATTCTATCTCAGAAGCAGTTTGACAGCTCTCTTGAGTCATCACCCCTTTTGGGGTGGGATTTGGGTGAGGTAGCTGCCTTTGAGGTTTCCATGCTCCTGCAGGTAAGTCCTCACCCCTAGTTCTGAAGACAACTTCAACAACCACATTGAACAAAGGTGAACTTCGATGGTGCGATTGCTTTGTTCTGCCAGTTTCCTGTCCAGGGCGAGTAGACCAGTCTCCCCAGGAAGTTTCACACAACACCAGGGATATGGACTTTAAGTTACCCCAAATGACACATTGCAAAATGAAAGTGGTTGTATGAACTTTCTTTAGCCAAGGGAAAAGGACAAGTATAATCAATATAGTTAACAAATAAATCAGTGGTAGTGTCAGGTGGCCAGGACACAGAGAACCCAGAAAATCTTTTCAGGTGTTTTCAGATGTTACAGCACTTGGTAGAGGTTCATGATTTACTAAATTTAACAATACATTCAAGACAAGACACAAAGGCTATAGGTAAATTGCTATTTTTTTCTAAAGGGTCCCAAACAACAGGAGAAACTTTTGTCTTTTGATAGGTGTATGGATTAGTTTTTCACCAACTTGAAAGAAGGTAGACTCATTTGGAAAGAAGAAACTTTCAATGAGAAAATGCCTCTCTCAGACTGGCTAGTAGGCAAGCAAGCCTGCATGTCATCTCCTTGATAATGGTTGATGTGCGAGGGCCGGCCCAGAGCAGGCAGTGCTGCCCCTGGCTGCTGTAAGAAAGTAGGCTGAGTGTAAGGCAAATAAACCCTTTCCTGCCCATGTTGCTTTTGGTCATGGTGTTTATCAAAGCAATAGAAAACCAAGTGCACCATTTCCTCTCTACAATCAGTATGTTCTGCAGACCAGGGCAAGGAGAAACATATTGTGAAAAGTTTCTGCACCCTGAGACGCCTCTCTGCCACCCAGCAATCCAAATCAAACCAAATCATACCGAATTAGAAAAAAACCCAGGTTTAATAGATAAAACGCTCCTGGGTGATTTTTTCTGGCCCAGCAGAGAGGAGACAGTAAAGAGACCAAAAAAACAAAAACAAAACCCCAAAACAATAAACCTATCAACCAACTAACCAGACACACAAAACAAAAAAGGAAAGAAAAAGAAAAAAACAAAACAAAAAGCAAAAAACAAAAACAAAAAAACCCACGTGTCTGCTTTCTGAGGGGCAGTTTAAATACCCTGTGAGAGTGGTCTTGAGCATCTCTGGGGGAGGGGTCATCATTTGGCTGCCTTTCTGAGAGGCAGCAGGGTTTGGAGAGGTGGGGGAAGGGGTTTGAAGTGGAGCTTCTACCAGAACATAATTGGAAAACACATACATACAGATATCAACATACAGGCACACATGCACCCCACGAAAAGGCAAGGATACATTGAGCTCCTAATGTGCCAGTTGCTTTATAGCATCAGAATATTAAACTATGTTGTTTTATCTTCACTTATGTAATCGTGAGTGTTTGCCTGTTTTTACAGTGCAGGCTCAGAGCAGTTACACAACATACTTAAAGTTATATTGTCAGCAAAATCAGAGTCTGGAATGGCGACTTTATGACTCAAAGCTAGTGTGTCAAAACCCTACTCATCATCATCATCATCATCATCATCATCATCATCATCGTCGTCGTGGACATAAACCATTCAGGGGTCCAAGGCATCACCGTCTCTTTAAATAAAACAAACAAAACTCAACAAAATTTCACATTCTTGTTAATCATGTCTTTACCTGGTTTCCTCGGTCTTAATACCATTTTTAGCCTTTCCAATCAACACAAATCACTCAGATTTAGGGGTTGGTGGTTTTGCTAACAAATTATCAGACAGCGAAAATACTTAAAAAATTAAAATTTTAGGTATGAGCAGAACACCGAAGCACTCAGAGAAAACTGAATCAATAACAGAGAAGAATGGAGCTAAAGAAAATTTTCAGAGGTGAGAATACTTGCTGCTCTTCCACAGAACCCAAGATCAGTTCCCATAAACTCACAACCACCGGTTAATTCCAGTTCTAGGGGGTCCAACGCTCTTTTCCAGCTTTTGAGGGCACTAGCACTCACATAGCATATATTCTCACATATACGTTAATAATTTTTTTTAAAAAAGATTAATGAAAAGGGGGGAAAATGCCATTTGGGATCTTCCTCCTCCACTTTAACCACCTCAACCAGGTTGCAAAGGTCCTCCCCCTTCTCCCGCCCTCTGCCACTCAGGCGGTTCCGCTCGAGTGCGCAGGCGTGCGGCCGGAGGCAGGGCCGTGGTTTCCTAGGAGACCGTGCAGCAGCTGCTCCGCGGTTGGCCGCCAGTGAAGATGGGGGTGGAGTCCGAGGAGGAAGGCGGCCCCGCGGAGGAAGAAGACGCTGCTCGCGCCATGGAGCTCTTGGACGCGGGGCCAGCGGGCAGCTCTCCGGGTGTGCGCTGTCCCGGTGATGGCGGGAAAGGAAGGGAAGGGTGTGAAGGGCGGGCGCCCGGGGCGGTCGTTGGGGCGCGGCCTCCAGGTCCCTCTCGGGCCTGGAGAGTGCGAGCACTCTGCGCAGGCTCCTGCACGCTTGGGCGACCCTGCATTCCTGCACACATGAGTGGGGTGCACCTGTCTCCGGGGCGGGCAGACTTTATTGACCTCCCGAGGGGACCCCTGATGCTTCCGGCAGCTCCAACTCGGAAAATAGGAGGACCTTGTCCGTTTAGGCGTAGAGACCTGGCCCCAGCCCAGGTAGGAAAGGATGGCCCCGAATTTAGCAATCAGGCTGGAGTCCCTAGGTGACCCACATCTACCCCAGACTGTGGTTCGGCCTTGTGGAGCCAGGTCGGGCGCTAGATTTCCACTCACTGATATTCCCACCCTCCCAACCCCCAATGAACAGAAAATTTATGGCATACATGTCATTTCTGTAATATCAATATCTCTAATATCTCCTTGGTACATATATCAAAATTAAAGTCAGTACACAACTAATCCCCATTTATGGAAGGACACACTGTATAAAAAATTTGTCCTTTTCCTACAAATATGCTTTTCCTAGCCTGGGGTTGCATTTAGACTGCTTTGTTGGTAACTAAAGAAAGGAAATTGTTCCTATTGCCTCTTTTACCACCCATAACATAAATTATTTACTCACTGGTCCTAGGGACTCAGGTACAGCCCTGGCCCGTTTTTAAAATTAGGCACTCAGTTTTTAACTCAGTGGTTAATTATTTGTTGTCTGTTGCGCCCCAGGCACTGTTGTAGGCACTGGGGACTTCAGAACAGGAAATCGTACTCTCATGGGAACCAAATTTAGTGTCCTGGAACCCACAGGTTGTGCTGTGCCAGTTTGATTGATTGATTTATTTATGTAGGGACAGGCCACTTGGAGTAATTCTCAAGTTGGTTGAAAATAACATTGCTACTATTTATTGTTTAAAAAATTCTAAAAGATAGGATACTACTTACAGCTTTTGTACCATTCATTACTGAACAAGAGTTTCCCCTAAATTAACTACCCTGAGGGGGGAAGACATGCTAGTTAATTAAAAAGGACTGAAGACCTTTTTGTTGATGGAGTTCCATATCTTTATGATTTGTAGATACTTTGGGGCATCTAAACAGTTGACATTTGGCGCATCATAAAATCCAAGGGAAAAAGCTCTTCAAGCCACAGTCCATCCTTTTTCAGATATAATGTTTTAAGGATCTGTTAGTTGCTCCCTGATGATAAGCAGCCTGAATATATTTATTTTCCTTTGTGTATTATGCAGCAGTTTTCGATCAAGGGGTGCCAACACGAATCTCTTCATCCAGAGTCATAGTACATGTGGACCTGGATTGCTTTTATGCCCAAGTAGAAATGATCTCCAATCCAGAATTAAAGGACAAACCTTTAGGTAATCCACATTTATGGGATCTTTGTCCAGTGATCATAAAATTAGCCTCAAGTATGATTTATTTTTCTGATTTATTAGCCATATGAAGTCAATTTTTGGAGACATTTTTAGGAATTTGGTTGGTAGTCATATTTGCTTTGCTACCAAGAGTAAATGTACCAAGTCTTGTCCCATCAATAAATATGATCGCATTAGCATAGGCAATGTGTGCACAGGAACCAGAATGAGCTCTTAGTAGATGTAGCAGCTCACTTCTGTAGACACATAATGAACTCTTAGATGTAGCTCACTTCTGTAGGCACGTACCTTAAGTAAGGAAAACAGCATTTCTTTCATGCATATAGGAAGGGCCGTTTAATTAAACACAAAGGGCAGTGTTTGTTTCCTTGCTGTTTCATCTTGTGCCTGCCTCAGTTTTATAAATCACAGTCCATCCCGATGATTTCCTGAAGAACAAAGGAATGACTAGGTTTTAGTTCTCTGAGATGAGGCTAAATCTTTAAACTTCTCCAAGAGGTCAAGCATTTAAATTAGGGGATCAGTTTTGTTTTTTGTTTTTTCCTTCTGAAAACGTTTCTAGTTAGCACAGATGCCCAGTAGTTACTTTGAACCCACAGGTATTATGTGGTTAAGAAGTAGTTATTAAGTGGTTATCTTGAACTGAGGAGTGTGAGTGCTTACCCAGCTTTTATTGATAAATGTGCAAGCAGCTCAGGCCAAGACCTGCTATGGGGAGCCCTTTTAGCTAAGGAGTTACAAATCAGGTCCATATATATATATATATATCTCACTTCGACTTTTAGGCATTATCAAGTATATGAAAAATGTATCAGCAAAACTAATTTTGATTTGTCTTAGAATGTCAGATTTAAATATATGCAGCAAGAATGGGTATAGATTTTTCTTTTCCATATATTCACTCTGCATATTGCAGATGACTATTACATTGTCATGAAGCAATCAACTTGAGTAAAAAGAGAAAAAGGAATAATTTTAGCAATCTTAAATGCCTGGTAATTTTTAAAAAAATGTATTCTATAGGTGGTCATAGTGTTGTCAGTTTCAAAAGGAAGCCTAAAATAATTCCTCTTGGTAAAAGTACAAATTATTTTGAGCTGTAGTTCATTGCTTAGGGCGTTCAATGGGACAAGAGCTCTCATGACTGCTGTGGTTTGGATCCTAGAATATTGCTCATATTCACTGGCAGTTTGCTCAGGGTGAGTTTTTCCAGCAGCAACCAGTATGTAATTGTTCTCTGTTATTTTCATCGGGCTTATTGTTTGGTAAACATTCCCAAGAGTATTATGTGACAATGTAAACTAATTGGGCTTTGAATTATCTGAAAAGAATCCTTGAAGGATTTAATTTATGTTTTATCACTGAAAATTCCTTAGAGTATATTGACTTAACAATAATTTAAATTTGAGAAACACAGCTTCCCTTTTGTGTATGCGTAACTGCCCACATTCTTACGTATAATTGCTGATACAATTATTCAGTGTTTTTTTTACTTAATATAATTTCTTCTCCAATTAGAAAAAAAGCTAAAGATAAAAGGTATGATAATGGGAGAATAAAATTGGTATTTTATATTTTGTAAGTGGGACATTGCTCAAAAAACCTGATGCGTCTTCTTAGAATTTTGATGGAGGTTGTTGTACTTAACTCACATGTCTTTTTGTTCTTGTCAAAACCTGTTGAGAGCTGGGCAAGGTGGTTCAACTCTGTAATCCCAGCACTTGGAAAAGGGAGGCAGAGGTGGGAAGATTTCAGGTTAGAGGGTAGTAGTGACAGAGTGCTTGACCAGCATGCACAAGGCTGTGGGTTTGAGCTCCTTTGCTGCAAACAACCGCAGAAGCAAACAGTGGGTTACCACCTACACTGTTACAGCATGAAACTAGAAAATGTTTTTAAAAATGCTCAATTCTACTTAACTTCCTCAGATGATACTTATTGTTTTATAGGTGTTCAACAGAAATACTTGGTGGTTACTTGCAACTATGAAGCCAGGAAACTTGGAGTTAAAAAACTTATGACTGTCAGAGATGCAAAAGAAAAGTGTCCCCAGCTGGTCCTCGTGAATGGAGAAGACTTGAGTCGCTACAGGGAGATGTCATATAAGGTCACAGGTACAACTTTAGTTGCCGCATAGTTTAGCACGTAGGATGATTTTTCACTATACAAATATTGGCAATGAAGTGCCGTATATCTAGGTCTTTTTTCCTAACACTTTAAAACAAAATTAGGCCTTGCAAGATGACTCCATGGATTATATGCCCTTGATGTTAGGCCTGACATCTGGAGTCCCATCCCTGGTACCACATGGTGGAAGAAGAGAACTGATTTGGATAATTTATCCTCTGACCTCCATACATATTGTAGCATGTGCCCTGCCGACCCCACTAAATTAATAAATGTAATAAAAATTTATATAAGAAGGTAGCTTCATATGCCCCCAAATAAATAAATTTAATATAAATGTTTGATGCGGCAACAATATACAGCACACTTATTGAAAGTATAAGTAAGTATTTATTGTAGAAATTACTCACAAGAGAAAAACAAGCAACCCAGATGAGCCAAGTATTTTTCTGCCACCAAACTGGAAGCCGGAAAGAGGGCAAGACGTTCTGCTGCTCAGTCTTTTATTCCTTCCTCCGTACACGCCCTTAGCTATGCCCAAAAGTGGGTCTGACGCCCCTAACCATGCCCAAAAGTGGGTCTGGCTAGTGACGTAGTTCACCGCCTACGTCCATATACATCTTTAGTCATGCTTAAAGTGGGTGTGGTTAGTGGTATGGTAAACCACCCTTTTATTACCTCATGTGTATGCGCCTCTAATATGCCACATGGCTAATGGCGGAGTACCAAATTTCACCCTACAAATGTTTAATTATGCAAGAAGGTGGCTTTCAGTGTTATAGCTGTGGGGAGAAAATGAACAGATGAGTGTAATTTAAATTTGGTCATGAATAATATTTAGTTAAGTAACAGAAAAAATGTAAATGAAGCTTTAAAATATAAAATGAAAATAAATACTGTGAAGAAAGATACTTTTTGTGGATGTGAAATTTATGTGTTTATGTATGCACTAGAGCATATATGTGTGCGTGCGTGTGTGCGTGTGTGTGTGCGTGTGTGCGTGTGTGTGTGTGTGTATGTGCACTGGTGCACACGCACTAAATATCAACATTAGTGCCTTCTGTTGCTGTCCAGTTTTTTAAAAATGTATTTGGTATATGTGAATGGCAAGGAACTACTGTACTTTTCACCATCTAGTTAGAAGATTCAGGGATAAGTAAAAATGACCTTAAGGTTGTAATTAGTGGTTAGTTTTCAGTCTCATTTCAGAATTGATACTCCTTTTGAATTCATTCTCAGTCTTGGTTCAGGTCAGTTTAGTGAACATTGTAATGGCTGAGTCTTACTGTGATGTGAGGCATTGGAATTCCCGAAGGTTATTGTACTCCAGCTACTTCATCCTCAGGAATGTACAGAGGGAATGTCTCATCAAAATACTTCATTGTAGTATATTCTAAAAATTTGTTTTAAATGTTAATGGAAAATATAACTAAAATATTACTTGGTTATTCTTTTCTAAGAAGATTATAATTCATTGATATCTACTTCAAGATTTTAACAACTTCTAAACATGGATTTTTAAAAAAGTATACTACCTAAAGATAAAAACGTTATAGATGTGGAAGACTGAATTAGATTTATTCCTGTGAGTAATTATCCTGGGAATATTATTTCTGGACTTTTTCTTTGAACATTGCCTTTACTCAAAAGTCTGTTAACTGAGGGTGTTATCAGAGGTTGTGGGGCTGGGCTGGAGAGACGGCTCAACAGTTAAGAGCATTGACTGCTTGTTCCAGAGGGTTTGGGTTCAATTCCTGACACCCACATGGGGCCTCACAACCATCTCTAACTCTAGTCCTACGGGATCCAGTGCCCTCTTCTGGCCTCTGCAGGTACCAGGCACAAACATTTTACACAGATATACATGTAGGCAAAACACACACATGTATAAAGTAAAAATTTAACTTAAAAATTAAATGGGTGTGAAGCTGTCTTATATATGTATCATACACATGATATACACATTTTTATATGCTGTATTTGGTATTTTAATCACTAAACAGTGAATTCTGTTCTAGTTGTAACTTAGTTATATCTGTGCTCCAAATTTATTTCAATTTAGAACTGTTGGAGGAATTTAGTCCAGTTGTTGAGAGACTTGGATTTGATGAAAATTTTGTGGATCTAACAGAAATGGTTGAGAAGAGACTCCAGCAGCTCCCAAGAGATGAGATTCCATCAGTGACCGTGTCCGGCCATGTTTACAATAACCAGTGTGAGTGCTTCCTCCCCACCCCCTCAGTGGCCAGTGACCATAAATACACACGTCCCACAGTCAGCAAGGCTGCTGACAGATGCGTGGCCTCTTTGGAGATACAGACATGTTTAGTACCTAAGCCCAATGAGGTCTTGCTGGTCGACGTTAAGTATTCAGGATAGTTCAGTGGTGTGTAAAGATGTGTCTCGGGTAAGGTTCATCTCAGGGGGTTTTCCTCCCATTATTTCCCCTGTCTGTGTTTAATAACCCTACATTTGTAGGTCATCCTTAAGTTCCAGAAGTTGGCTTCTTTTTTTAAAAATCATTTTAATTCTGTTGAATTTTGAATGTGTATATTGTCCTGAATGTGCTGTTGATGTATATCTTCCCTGATTCCTTCTGTACCTCTGAGGCACTAAGAGTCCCCTGTTGGATCCTGGCTGAGTCTTGTCCAGGCCTTTAGTCACAGACTGAAATTGTTGTGTGCCAGTGACCTCTCCAGGCTTCAGACTAATCAGTTGCAATGACCATTAGCAGCTATTAGTAAGAAAACTGATGTTTTCCAGGGATATTTGCATCTCTAAGTTGCAGTGAGTGCCTGTGAATATCTGATTAGACTGCTGGACACCCTTGACTGTTGGAGAATTTATGTGGAAGACAAACTCTTCGTATAAGAGCAGCTTGACCTAGCTGATCATGTTTCTCAGCCTGTGCCTTCTCTTATGCCCCTGTTTGGAGACTCCTGTATAGTCCCCACAGAAGAAAAGAGGCAGAACCACCATTTCTAGGAGAAAAGAAACTTCTGTGTCTCTTGTACCTCTGCTCTTTTGTCAGTCACCAGGGTAGAGAGCAAGTAAGATTCCAGATACATCTTTGTACAGCAGACCCTATTCTTGAGAACAAGCACATCAGTGTATAGAGAGCTAGATTTTATATTTCAAGACATTATAAATGCCTAATTCCTAATAAAAGTTATTTATTGAAGCAGGTCTCGCTATGTAGCCTGGCTGGCCTGGAACTTGCATGTTGACCAGGATAGCCTTGAACTCAGAGATCAGCTTGCCTCTGCCTCCCAAGTGCCTGGCTCGACATAGATTTAAAAACAGTTGCTTTCAGCCGAGTATATAAATTGAGGAATCATGGTGTGAACAATCTTCTTTGTTGTAGACAAGCCAGTTATCGTTTTGGCACGTTTATTTTATATTGCCTCTGTGGACTTGGTGCTTGCTCTGAGCTAGGCTGATCAATGAGCCATTAGGAACTAAATTGCAGGGCCTGTGACGCTATATCTCCAAATCCTTCCAGCATGATTCCTAAGGATAAAGATGGGTTCATATAATTCTACCATTCCACACCAAAGAAAATGTGTTTCTAGTTTTCCTACTATGTAATAAGCAGATCTCCTAACCCATGGGCCAGTTAGAAAAGGTTTTCATTAGGGTGCTCAGGTAGTGCATGAATATATACTTATTTCTACTTATTTATTGGCAAATGTGAATAAAAGTTTTTTTTTCTTTTGTTTTTTCAAGACAGGGTTTCTCTGTGGCTTTGGAGGCTGTCCTGAAACTAGCTCTTATGGACCAGGCTGGTCTCAAACTCACAGAGATCCGCCTGCCTCTGCCTCCAGAGTGCTGGGATTAAAGGCGTGTGCCACCACCGCTGGCATGAATAAAAGTTTTATGCATGTCAGCTGGAACTTCTTATGTGCTGCATTTTTATAGTCTGTTAATGATTAAGCACTTCCAGCATGTGTTCATTGTCACAGGCCCTAGGCATTTGGTCACTTTATAGTCATCTATGAACAACTAAGAAACAGGTAGAACAGTGGTAGGGGAGGGGCAGATACAAACAAAATCCTGGGCTTGTTTAAAGCTATTTGTGGAAAAGAAAATGAATGTTTTTTTTTTGTCGTAATAACATTGCCATTATAGCTGTAAACCTGCACAACATCACCCATGTGAGACTTGTGGTTGGATCACAGATTGCTGCAGAGATGCGGGAAGCCATGTATCATCAGCTTGAGCTCACTGGCTGTGCTGGAGTGGCTCCCAATAAACTATTGGCAAAGTTGGTTTCTGGTGTTTTTAAACCAAATCAGCAAACAGTCTTATTACCTGAAAGCTGTCAAGATCTCATTCACAGTTTGAACCACATAAAGGAAATGCCTGGTAAGACAAATACATGTGAAGACTGTATATTGGTTTTGCTGTAATTTCTTTAATTTAAATATGCATTTAATTCCTAGAGGCACATACTTGGCTTTTGGAGAAAACCAAAGAGCCCGAAATGCTTTCTGGAACAAATTTTTTATGAGGAAATATGTGAAAGTACTTTTCCATATAAGGCTCTGAGTCGTGTCCTGGTGCCATATGGTTCCATACTTACAGTTTCTCTGTACATTTCACAGAGAGGGGAGTTCATCATTTGCAATGTCTTTTTGTAGTAGGTCTTTCTTGTTGGACTTCCTTTGAACTGCCAGCACCCAAATAATGACACAGAGACTTATTAATTATGAAATCTTGGCCTTTAGCTTAGTCTTGTTCCCAACTGCCTCTTATAACTTAAATTAAATTAACCAGTACTTATTAATCTACATACTTTCATGTGGCTCATAACCTCTCTTCCATTCTGTATGTTTGACTCCCTCTGTGTCTCCTTGGCAACTCCTGCAAACCTAGATTCATCCCCGAGTTCCTCTGTCTGCCTGGAAGTCCTGCCTAAACTCTCCCGCCTAGCTTTTGGCTGTTCAGCTTTCTAGTAAACCAACCACAGTGACAGTTTCACACAGTGTAAGCAAATATCCTGCAACATCTCTTTGTGGCAAAACTTCCAAAAGCTTGTAGGCCAAGCTTTTCATTAAAAAATATTTTTGTGTCTCCCATATTTTTGTGCATATGTGCTCGTGGGTGTACATATGTGTCAACCTTGAGTGTCTTCGTTAATCATCTCAGCATATTTCTTGGGACAGTCTCTCACTGAACCTGAGCTCATGGTTTAGTGGGATCCTCCTTGACCACCTCCCCACTTCTAGGGTTATGGGTACACACCAGAACTCATGGCTTTTATGTGGGTGTTAAGGGTATGAACTGAGGTCCTAGTGTTTGTGCAACAAGCGCTTTACCAAGGGAATGGTCTTCCAGCTACTGAGTTCCTCATCTTAAAGACAAGTGACTATTTAGTAGTCATGGACAGATAGGTTATCTTTTAATGAGTACGTTAAAGTTCATTTTTGTAGGGATTTAGGAAGACAATAGAAATGGCACTACTTCTCTTTTCAGACAGATGCTGATGTGATTTAGTTTGTTTTATGTCCTAGTTTACCTTCTTCAGTGGAGTCTAATTGGAAGGTTTGACTCTTCTGAAGAACCATGTTAGATTGTAATTAGCTGAGATCTCGATATCTCTACAAAACCACTCTTGCTTGAATTGCTTTTTAGTTAATATCTGTGTTTTGTTTTGGTCTCATGTAACCTGGGCTGGCCTGGAACTTAACCGTAGCTGTGGATGGCCTTGACTTAGTACCTCTGTCTACTTTCACACCCTGAGTTCTGTAACCACATCTAGTTTTATACAGTGCTGGCGATAAAACCCAGCCCCTTCTGGAAACCAGCCAAGCACTCTGCCAGCTGAGCCTCCATCCCCAGCCCTTGTCTGTGTTTTTCATAGACTTTACCTTTTCTTTTATTCTAATTGTCAGTCTTTAATTCTGCTGTAAAGTGATCTGTCACTCCATTTTAATAGTTGCCCTGATATGCCTGTTTCCTGCAACCTACTGCTTTTACTGTGCAAGGAAACCAAGAGAGCTGTAGGATTATTATTTTTAAATGAAATTTAGAAAAAACAACATTTCATCATTTCATAGTGTGTTTCTCCTATGCATAAAGTGTGACTAGTTTAATGGAGTTTGGTTAGCAGGAAGGTTTTTGCTTGTTTTTTGGATTTTCTTTTAGTTTGTTCTGGATGGCAAGTACAATTGCAGGTTCATGTTGTGTTGGGCCACTTATGAATTTGCTTGGCATTTCTAAGTGTTGCTTGCTGTGCAATCTTTTTTGCATGCACAAATTAGATTTTTTTTTCGTTTTTCCACAGTATCGCAATACAGGCTATAAAATGTGTTTGGCCCAGACAGAACACATTGGCTGTCTCTTAGATGGTACTCCATGTTAGTAAGGTTTCAGAGAAGTTTATATCATTCACGAGCCCTGAGTGGAAGAAAAACAGTGCATTTTGTAATGCAGTCTGAGCTTAGTAAAGTATTAGAGGAACTTATCATATGATGAAAGCATCTTTAATATTTAGAGTAGTGTTATTTTCAAAAGCAAAGCCTTTGTAACAGGATGCATTTCTGTTGTTCAGGTATTGGCTATAAGACTGCCAAACGTCTTGAGGTGCTGGGAATCAATAGTGTGCGTGATCTCCAGACCTTTTCAGTCAAAACATTGGAAAAGGAATTAGGGATTTCAGTTGCTCAGCGCATCCAGAAGCTCAGTTTTGGAGAGGACAACTCTCCTGTCACACCTTCAGGGCCACCACAGGTACGTGAGCATGATGCTCATTTCACAAGGTGCTGGTTATAATGCCACTTAAGTTAAAGATGTCTGGTTTCAGTATTCACTACACTAGATTGCTTTGATGCTTGTACACGATCCCTTTCCTATGAGAAGGTGGCTTATGTGAGATTAGTAAGTACTCTAAAAATTGAAACTTGCCTGTTAGTAGTTTTGATCAAGTTATCTGTTTTTTTTTTTACTCTGTCTTAGAATCCTAACACATACACAGACATGAAGAAAACATTTTAATCTTTTGAAACATCTTTGTTTCTAGAACAATCCAGTGATTTGGCAAATGGGGAGGGTATAAGTATCCAGTTAGTGTGGGTTTTTTTTCTTATGTGCCAAGCACTTTAGAAAGTGCATTTAAATTTCACCATAAATCTTGTAGATAGACAGTGTTATTTATCCATACCTTCCTTTCTGCCTCCCTTGCTTCCTCTCTCTCTCCTTAAGACCAGGGTACTGTGCTTTCAAAAGGTTAAATAACTTATCCAAGTACAGACCCAGATTAAAGTTTTAAGACTGTAGGAACCTTGCTGTAGTCGTATAGAGAGACTGGAGCTGGTCCTAGTACTTTAAAATTTTGTGACTTGTGCACAATAACTGCACACTTGGAGAGTTAATGAAAAAAAGAACCTGATGTTAAGTCATGTACTAGGGTGAGGTGGTAATAATGTGTTGAGTATTTGTTTGGCACGGAGACCGTGTTTAAGTTTATAGAAATTTATACTTACTTATACTTCTTTGGTAGTCCTTTAGTGAAGAAGATACATTTAAAAAGTGTTCATCAGAAGTTGAAGCTAAAACTAAGATTGAAGAACTGCTTTCCAGCCTTTTGAAGAGGTACTTTTCATTTTGTCTCATCATCCTTTGTAGTCATCCTGTGCCCCTATAGGAAAATCTACCTCATGTTCTGTGTTGGGCTTTACAGATTAACTGTATTCAAGATAGATCTCTTGTTATTAAATTTCTCTGTCACGTACTCTTAATTAAAATTACCTACTTCTATTAGTCTTTATTCAAGTGACATGGTAGATATGTTGATCTTAAGCCACAGTAGTTACCTGAATGGTTTCTTAGTTATTTCTAATGTTCCTGTTCCTAGACTTCAGACTTTAGGTGAGAAGGGCATTTTTTACTGCACAGCCTCGCTCCTGCCATCATAATTACCTGCTTTTCAGTTGGGGGAAAATGCAGAGCAGAGTAATCTTGCCACTGTTCTAACACTCCTTCTGTTGGAATGGATTTCTGGTTCATGATGTTTCAGATGGAAGATGCTGAGGTGGCAGTGCTGGAGAAAGCGGGGGAAACCTCCTTTCCCCTCTTGTCTTAGACTGTTGAAAAGATAGTGCAGTCAAAGGAGGGGATGGCTAATAAATGGAGCAGTGTGTGAGTATGAGCAAGTGTGTTCAAGGACTCTGGCCTGAGAGTTAACAATGATGTGTCAACTGGGATCTAAACATACAAAGACTGTAATGTACGCTGAACAAGAGCTGTTTCCTGGTGCTCCTTGTTGTCTTTGAAATGTGCACTCTCGTTTCTTACAAGAAAGCATTCATTTCCCATCACTTCACCCCGTTAGAAGTTATCTCAAGTTGGTTTAGAACATGTGTGCTTCTGGAATGATCCAAGGAAGACTAGCTGTATACAGATGAAACAACTTGATGCTCGTATCAGAAAACAGATGATCTGAGGTTGCCTTCCGTCTTGCTGCCCTGTGCAGCTGGTCTAATGTCTGGAGCAGAGAGAGCCATGCTCCTCACTGCTGGCTGCATGCTCGGAGGGGGAGCATGACTCAGCTCCCGTGATGTGACTCATTCTGTTCTGGGAGTGTGCTGCTGAAACTGGGTCATCATTCACTCCACCTCAGCTCACGAGTACTTGGAGATGTGTGGCTGTGGAGAACGGCCCTGCACAGAAAACCACAGGAAGTGTATGCTGTATATAAGTCCTCGCCCTTGAAGACTCAGTCCTGAAGAGAGCGGGCACTCTAAACCTCTGAGACACCAGGTGTGAACATCTGCCCATGCCTCTGCTTTTCAGTACCTCCAACACCACAGGAAGCACCTCTTTTATGACAGTTATAATAGATTTAAGTGACTGGTATAAGCATAATTTCATATATTTTTCTTCTAGAGAATCTATTGATTAATCCTATAGGGAGGAAAAGAGGGTAAGCTGTATTTTAAAAAGCATCCTCTAGGTACCAGTTTAAAATTGCTTTTAGCTCTTTCCTGTTGTCCTGTTGAGTGGACCTTACGTCCAATTAGATAGCTCTTAGGTGTCACGGAAATACAAGTGCCCCATTACACCATTCTGAACATGACCAGTCTAGTCCTGTTTTTGTTCTGCCAGACTACAGCTGGGTAGGACGACTGAATGCTCTTTACCTGGCCAGTTTGCACTGTACGTTTTGATACTATAGAAGCTATTCCTCAGGGATGAGGCTTCTGGATCAGTTCCAACTCTATTACTCCCAAGACCCATGTCCAAAGTGCATGATGTCTTCAGAAATAGGCCCACACCTTAAAGTTATGGGAGGCGGTCTAGGGCAACAGCAATAGTCTTGTGTGGTTTTGAGAATTTAGGACTACTCTGACCAACAACTTGGGAGGAGGTTTGTCATGCACGCTACTGGTGTTTTGGTTTGGTAGACCATGTCTCTTAGGGGGCCATTCTTGCTCCAAGTAGTACAATGTCTTTAAACTCTGTGTGTGTCTGTGTGTGTGTGTGTATATGTGTATGTGTGTGTGTATGTATGTATGTATATGCATATATAGTTTATGTGCATTACTTATATGCAATATATTTTATATAACTATGTGGTGATATCTTGTTTGTACAAATAAAGCTTGCCTGAAGACCAGAGGGCGGACCTAGCCACTAGCTAACTATAGAGGTCTGGAGGTCTGTATGGACAGACAGAAGTGAGATGACTGGGTTTGTCTGTGTAGTCCTGACAGTCCTGGAACTTGCTTTGTAGATAAGCTGGCCTCAGACTCACAAAGATTCACCTGCCTGGAATTAAAGGCATGTGCCACCATCGATTGACAATGTTTTTTGTTTTTTTTTTTGTTTTTTTTTTTTTGTTTTTGTTTTTCGAGACAGGGTTTCTCTGTATTGTTTTGGAGGCTGTCCTGGAACTCACTCTGTAGACCAAGCTGGTCTGGAACTCACAGAGATCCACCTGCCTCTGCCTCCTCAGTGCTGGGATTAAAGGCGTGCACCACCAATGCCCGGCTTTGACTGACAATGTTATACCAGTTTAATGAAATGGTAGGTTTTCTTCTAGGGTCTGTGACCACTCCAGCCAAAGGTTTTTGGCTAGTCTTACATCCCCAGTCATGGAATTCCTTCTGCTAACCAGACTTTAAATTCAACTATATGTGTAATGCCAGTGAAAGATTGGTCTTCCTCATGAGAGTGAGAGCATGCACGCAAAAGGAGAGCAAGCTTCTTTCTTCTGTGTCCTTTATATAGGCTGCCAGCAGAAGGTGTGGCCCAACTGAATTCAGTCCTTCCTCGTCCCCTTATAGTTAAGCTTTCTTATCCTCTTTTCTTCATGTTATACTGTACCCATGTGTACATTTGACTAGATTCTGAATATGAGGGAGAACATGTTGTTTCTTTCTTTCTGAGATTGTATTCCCTTGCTTAATATTGTATGTCGTAAGTCCATCCACTTTCCTCACACAAACTTCAGATTTTATTTTCAAGACCTTTGGTTATAAGGCCAGGAGTGGTATGACTGGGTCACATGGTAGATTCATTTTTAGCTCTCTGAGAAACCTCCACACCGATGTCCACAGTGGCTGTGGACTAGATTGTACTCTCACCAACAGTGGATAAGGTCTCTCCTTTCAACACATCCTTACTGGCATTTGTTATCCTTTATCTTAATGGTAGCCATTCTAATGAAATGTTTTAATTTACTTTTCCCTGATTGCCAAGGCTGTTGAAACTTTTTTTAAAAAGGAGAAACACTTTATTTTGTTTCTTGGCTTAAGGGAGGAAAACAGTCCCCTTCCCCCCCTAAGTGGGGAAGACACAGAGGCAGGAGTGCAAGGTGGCCTATGCTATCCCATCAGTCTGTGGGGTTGTTTTCTTGATGCTTTGGTTTTTGGGTTCTTTATATAATCTGGCTATTATTCCTCTACTGGATTTATGGCTGGCAAACATTCTCACTGATTTAATATGTTGTTTTAAACTATGTTTTGGACTATAAAATAGATTGCTCCATTTCTGACAGCACTTAATTCTGAGTGACAGTTCCATTTTAAATGTCAGAGCTTTGCTGTGTTGACTTTGAGATACTGACTTGGATGTTCTTGAATATGTATTGCTTATTATGTGCCATTTCTGATGGTACATATAGCTAAAGACATGTTATTACATTTTATAATTCTGTTTTCCCATTTATATTTTTAGAGTATGCCATGATGGAAGGAAGCCCCATACAATAAGATTAGTCATCCGTCGGTACTCTGAGAAACACTGTAATCGTGAGAGTCGCCAGTGTCCTATTCCTTCCCACGTCATTCAGAAGTTAGGGACAGGTATGGACTACTTTTCTAGAATGTAGTTGGCATATTGAACTCTTCAAAAAGTAAACTGTGATTTAGAAACATGCTACATAAAAGTATTTTCTGTGGTTTTCAAAATTAATTTTACCAGGGATTAACAGTAGGAAAACTCTTTAATAGATAATAAAAGTAAATTCTGTTATTTACTCAGGAAGTACTTAGTTAAAAATATATCCCAGCTTCAAAGGAAACAAAACTAAAATAATTGTGTAGAATACATTTAGTAAATATTGTCAAATGCCCAATGATCCCAAATTAGGTTTTAATTTCTTAATATAACTCATGTGAGTAATACTATGCTTTGAATATTAATTAAGATGCAGATGCTTATTATATCCCTCAACATTTTACTTAGGAAATTATGATGCAATGACTCCCCTGGTTGATATCCTTATGAAACTTTTTCGAAATATGGTAAACGTGAAGATGCCATTCCACCTTACTCTTCTCAGTGTGTGCTTCTGCAATCTGAAAGCACTGAACACTGCTAAGAAGGGGCCCATGGATTTCTACTTAACGTCTTCCCTGTCAACCACGTCCCACTCCGGCAAGCGCAGTTTTGTGAGTACACCCTTACTGTCCCGCTGTGGCTAAAAACGCAGTGTACATTCCTATTTAGTGCTACTTGGAGATTATTGGAAGCATTCCTGTTTGGATGATTTACTTGTTTGTAGTTCCTATCACAGGACGGCTGTTGGCCTTAAATATATTGTAATCTGAGAGGAAAGTGTAAAGATCAGAATAAAAGAGACAAGCAGTATGGCGCTTCTGTTTGGGTTCTAGAGGAATATAAGAATATTATTGTTGATTGGCTTATAAATATAAACATATATAGAAATTAATTACTATTGCATTAAGATTGGGATAGTATTATAATAATTGTTGAGCTGTAGTTGAGTATGTGGACATTTTTATGTTATGTAAAACTGGAAGGAACATTCAAATGCAAAAAATAAAAAAAATTGTGCAAACTTTGGTTCAGGATGCTTAAGTTTTATGTAAACTTAGCATTATGCTTAAATATAATATAGTTGGGGGCTGGATAGGTTAAAAGTACTGACTGCTCTTCCAGAGGTCCTGAGTTCAATTCCCAGAAGCCACATGGTGGCTCACAACCATCTATAATGAGATTTGGCGCCCTCTTCTGGCCTGCAGAGACATATGCAAGCAGAAAACTACATAATAAAACCATCTGATTAATATATATGCTTTTTTTTGTTTCTTTTTGTTAAATATTACCTTTTAGACAAGACATTTTTGGAAAATCAGCCCTTGGTGCTGTGTTTGTGTGTGTGTGGTTTTTTTTTTTTTTTTTTGGTTTTTCGAGACAGGGTTTCTCTGTCTCCCTGTCTCTGCATATATTTTTTAATAACATTATATCACTTAGTTTACAGAATTAGATGTTGGAACACACAATTGTTGAGGTCCTTTCCTTTCGCATATTTTGTCCCCTACTCCGTGCTAGCTAGCAAGGAAAGTATGAATATCATGATAAGCTACACAGTAGTATAACTCACTGGGACAGATTAATCATCTTGTAGCTACTTACTTGGCCCTGGCAACAAAAGACTGAAAGTGGTGAGCAGGTTTGAAATCATAGGAGTTACTTCAGCAGCACTGATATTTAAGGCATGTCAGACTCCTAAGTTCTGCTGTTCCCCTGTGTTCTAGAAAGTGAAAGACAGTCACAATGAAGACCTTTACAAAGAGAAAGAAGCAAACTGGGATTGTCTCCCAAGTAGAAGAATTGAGAGTATGAGAACTGGGGAATCCCCACTGGATACCACGTATCTTTCAAAAGAAAAAGACACAAGTGACTTTCCGCTCCAGACCCTTCCTGAGGGTGTTGACCAAGAAGTCTTTAAGCAACTTCCAGCAGACATTCAAGAAGAGATCCTTTCTGGAAAATCCAGAGACAGTCTCCAAGGGAAAGGAAGTTTAAGTTGTCCACTGCATGCCTCTAGAGGAGTATTGTCTTTCTTTTCTACAAAGCAAACGAAAGCTGCTGCCTTAAACCCCAGAGATACTGTGTCTACTGGCAAACGGGTATCGGCTGTGTCTCCCTGCGAGCCAGGAACATCAGGATTGAGTACCAGTAGTGCTTCCCATCCATCATGTGGAAAGGATTGTTCTTATTATATAGATAATCAGTTAAAAGATGAGCGCATGAGTCAAGGACCTAAAGAGTCTCAAGGATTCCACTTTTCCAATACAAACCCTGCTGTTTCAGTGTTTCATTCATTTCCAAATCTGCAGAGCGAGCAACTTTTCGTCAAACACCGCCCTGCAGATAGTCACAAGCAGACAGTAGCCACCACGTCTCATCAAGGACTAGTAGAAAATAGAGAGCAAGATTCTGCCGATGAAAAACTTACTTTCCCATCTGATGTTGATCCTCAAGTTTTCTATGAGCTACCAGAAGAGGTGCAAAAGGAACTGATGGCAGAGTGGAAGACAGCTGGAGCAGTGCTCCACTCTGTACATAAATAAGCTCACTCGGGAAAAGGGCCAGAAAGCAAGGGAGTCATCAGTCTCACATTAGCTTCCCATAAGCTCTTTTTATTTAAAAGCTACTATTCAGTGATGTAGAAATTCCAATGTAAGGTGTTCCAAATAAAGTAACAATGCGTGCAGGAGATAGATTCTAGCAAAAAAGAAAAAAATATCCATAATGTGATAATGTAAAAAAATGCTATCTTCCTGTTATTTCTACAGCTGTTTTATATCATTTTCCAATAAAAGGAATATCATGGTCAACAGTAGGCTATTTGCCATAAGTTATGGGACAGATGTTTTATGTATGCACGCAAAATACAGGCTCATCACAGCATCTCTTATGCTATAGGAATGAACAAGGTTTTTTTTTTTAACTATGCAGTCTCAAAGTCAGTCCTTAGCATTCAAATAGGAAATAATCTTGTTAGTTTCAAAAGGGTAAATATCTTTAGCCAAATTATTACATATAATTTAGCAAGTTGGCTTGATTTTTGTTTTTGAAATAATAACCTACTATGTCATTCAGACCAGTCTCAACTTTGTGAACTTTCTGCTTCAGACTTCTGAGTTTTGAGATATCATTGTGCACAAATCAACTTCTGAAGAATTTCTCTTGTGTGTTCAAGTGTGTGTGTGTGTGTGTGTGTGTGTGTGTGTGTGTGTGAAAGTAAAAGAAGAGCAGGTAATAATGTTATAGAGGCTAAGAGCTTAGAAAAACAACAAAACATATCTACTGCTATTGAGTGCATGTTTAAAATTCAGATGAATTAACCAACAACACACATAAGCATGAAAAATAGATTGTGTGTGCTAGCGCACTTCACCCTATGACCACCTGACATCATCGCTTCCCAACCACATTCAACTACCAGGCCCAGTCCTGCCCAGGACAACTTGCACAGTGGCCCAACCTCGTGAGTCTTTCCAATTCCAACTTCCCACACGCTTCCCAATTCCACCCTGGGGACTAGCTTTCATAATACAAGTAGGTGCTATGCCCTGCCAAAGGAGGAGGCAATGAGTAATCCTACCCAGTGATGCCTGTGAACCACAATGACCAGCATGGCAAAAAAGCCCTATAGATGCAGTCGTGGCACTTTTATCGTTGTGGGAAACTGCAGCTCTCTAATTAGACTGAAGGCCCACTCAACAGAAGGATACCATGATTGGTAATGGAAACCTAGTCAGCTATGCAGAGCTGGTGAAATTATCATCTTAGGGGAGAGCTACTACTGCCACTTTACTAAGCCAATATAATCCCAACTGTGTGGGCTTGTCCTCTGGGTAGGACCACCTGACTTTTGACAGACTTACTTTTTGGGAGCAGATTCTGCTCCCCCATCTCCAGCTGTGAACTGTGGTTGAGGCTGCGCCTAGTTACTTCTCAGCATTGCTGCCTTACCCGAATAGAGGAGGACCGGTCTTTGGTCAAGGGTATACGAGTAGCTGCGCTCCCTTGCTAGAACCTCCAAACAAGCTCTCAAGGTCCATTTTTTTCTTGCATCTCAGAAATACAATTTATTTTTGAAATATTAGAACTATGGGTTTAGAAACGGCCTCTTGGCACTGCACCTTTTATTATAAGTCTAGTTATTGGTCTCCGTCCCTCCGTCCTCCCCTCCCTCCCTCTTTTCCCTCCTTCTCTCCCTCCTGTCCTTTTACTTTCAGAATCTCTGGCCCAGGATGGCCTTGAACTATTGAAGAAGATGTAGACTTTCTGATCCTCCTCCCTCTACTTCCTGAAAGCTTTGTTGGACACAGGCTACCGGCTTGCATCCCTGCACCACACACAGCTCCCAATTGATGTGGTACTAAGGATGGAGCCTAGGGTCTTCTGCATGTAAGAATAGCACACTACTGACAGCTACCCTCCTACCCCTAGATTTTTTTTTTTATCAAGTTTGTGGTTTAAAAGTTTCTTGAAAAAAAAGTTTCTTGAATTTTCACATTTATTCAGATTTAAGTTTTTTAATCATCTGGTTGGTGTAGGTAGGATTTTCTGTTCCATTAGCCAGCTCCTGAATAACCACAGAGACTTACTGATTATAAATGCTCAGCCAATAGCTTAGGCTTGTTACTAACTAGCTCTTACAACTTAAATTAACCCATATTTATTCTACATGTTGCCACATAACTTGTGGCATTTATCTGTTCTCTTATGTAAGATGCTTCCTCTACATCTGGCTGGCGACTCCACCCTTCTTCATCCTAGAGCTCTCTCCCTGACCACAAGTGCCACCTAACCTCTTCCTGCCCAGCCGTTGGCCATCCAGCACTTTATTAAGCCAATGAGAGCAACATATCTTGGCAGTGCTCAAAAAGACCACTCTACAATAATCAGGATTATTAAAAAAACCTTGTGAAATCTGTACACACAAAGATGCAAAAGCATCAAAATGCAAATAAATACTTATAAGCAACAAGTGTGCAATGAAGCTAAAAATAAAGTAATCATAAAGTTGAGAAGTACCACTCCCAGTTAGTAGTTGTGTAGAGTGTAAAATGAAATGTGTGTGCATTAGGATACATATCAAATATGCTATTCATGTAGAGATTACAGACATTTAAAAATTGTGATTTCCAGTAATCATTTGTTTCAAATTATAAAAGTAACTAAGAAAGTCCACCATGTGCTTGATTTATCTAAACAAAACCAATAGTTTCATAACAATAAAGATAACATATTTGAGATGTTAATTAATAGAATATTCTGTCTTTAGGTTGCTAGAATGTTGAATGCTAGTTTGCTTTTTTTGGGGGGGGAGTTATTAGGAGTAGGGAGCGGCAGTGCTGGTGACTGAGCCTGGGGCCTCATGCATGGCAAATAAGTACTCTACTACTGAAATATATATATATCCCCAGTCCTCCTTAGGTCATTTGATTAGATGGTTACATTCCCATTACTCTAGGAATGAAGAGAACCTGGAGGCACATACTTACACTATCTCTCTTTAGCCTTGCTGTTCAGCTAAATTCAGTATTTAGTTTGGGGTAGTTGAGTAATCATATGTCTACTTCAGCATCTTTAGTGGTATCCTTTCAAACTGTATGTAGTTTTTACGTAATCATTGAAACTTTCTATTATATCTGGTCAATAATTCTAGTCTCATGAACAAATAATCATATCCATTAAGATATTTTAAGTCCGCCAGGCAGTGGTGGCGCACGCCTTTAATCCCAGCACTCGGGAGGCAGAGGCAGGCAGATCTCTGTGAGTTCGAGGCCAGGCTGGACCGACAGCCTCCAAAACAATACAGAGAAACCCTGTTTCATAAAAACCAAAAAAAAAAAGATATTTTAAGTCCAAATATGTCTAAATACAGATAAGCATCTTAACTAGTATATGACTATTCACTTCTCATTAAATTCCATGAAGCTATAAACCTAATTTTTATTGCAAAAACATTGAAATGATGAGTGTAAAATAATGCTATATAAAAAATAAGAACTTTCAAAGGATTAGAATTGGCAGTTAGTATAAAAATATTCATAGAATACATTATATGGTTCATTTTATAATGGAACAAAGTGTTTTGTGGATATTTGGAAGTAATTGCTACAAAAGTTGGTATCTAGAAATGCTGGACTGGCCCCCCAAAATTACAAAATATATGATATTTAGGCTTCTGAGTAACAAGGGTTTGAAGAAATTGTTAGTAAAAGTTGCACTAATGCTTAGGAAGCTGCTATTAAAAAACTAGTTTGAAAGTTGCTGGTGGTTCCTTGGAAAACAGACCAAACGTTTGGTTTGGGCCTAAGCTATCCACAAGCAAAATGTGGGCGCGCCACCTGCTGGCATTTTAGTGCATAGGATTAAGGTATCAGACTTCAGTTTATTTATTTATTTATTTTTTTAAAGAACTCTCTCCTCAAGTTTTTTTTTTCTTTTAAATTATAGACTGTTTTTATTTTATTTTGGCTTTTTTTCTGATCCTCCTGCCTTTACCTTCTGAGTGCTGGTATCACAATCATGTGCCACCAATCCCAGCTTTTTGTTGCTGTTTGAAAAGGGGCCTCCTTACAGATGGTTGGGAACCGCCATGTGGTTGCTGGGGATTGAACTTAGGACCTTAGGAAGAGCATGGAGTGATCTTAACTGCTGAGCCATCTCTCTGCCCTCTCTCCTCAGCTTTAGTTAAAGTGTCTGTCTTTACCTTTGTTGTTCTCATCACCATCTCTTCCCTCTCCTCCTTTCACTTTTTTGTTGATATGTTTGTCTTTCTTTTCAGTCTGCTGTAGCTGGTTGGAGGCTGAGAGGCCTCAGTGGTCACTACTTCTGTGGACCAGCCTTGAGCTGATGAAGGGTGAGGGTGGCTGTGGGAACTTGAGTCTGTGGAGTAGTGCAGACTCTTTTCTTCTAACCATCTGATGGTGGAAATGAAGACTGTATGCTTAGGAAGGTCCAACTTCATCACTGCCCAGGCAAGCATAGTCGCACACCCAGGAAGACTCAGCCCTGCCTGTTGCTTCAGTGAAGAAAGGAATCCAGGGAGATTAGCACTGTCAATCACTCTCGTGAGCCCAGCATCTCACTGATGCTCCATATGCCCATCCCATATGGTGTTTACAATAACCTGGTACCCCTTGAACAGGGCAAGTTTCCATGAAGACCAAGGGTGAGGAAAAATATCAAATAAAAATCAACTCAACTAATCAATGATTTAACACCAAATGTGCAAATCCCAACACAAAAGCACAAGAAACAATGTTTGTCCTCTAGAAAGTATTAATCCTGCAGTAATGGCCTCCATGAGAGTAGGTTTCTGTCTCAGCAAATGAATTTAAAAGAAGAAAATAAATTCGTGAAAGAGTGCTGAATGAAGTGAGGAGGTTGACGCTCCCTGAATGTCTGCCCACACTTGATCCTGTCATTATTTTGAAGGCTTTCTGCTGTCTGATAGGTGTGCTGACATCTCAGTTTGATTGCTACTTGAATTTACCCAATGGCTAATATTGTGGAATATGTTTTTCTTTTTTGAGTTTGTTTTTTCAATCATGTATCTTTTTTAGTGCTGTTGCCTTTGGCCACTTTTGAACTGAACTGTTTTTACACTCCACATGTTGAGCGCTCCCTGCCTATTTTAGGTGACAGTTCCTTTTCAGAAGGGTCCTTAAGAAGGGCCGCAGCATCACTGTAACTGTAATTAGCACAGGGGCTGGGTGGTATTGATCTCTACCCTGGAGAAAGCAGAGCACAGGCTGACCCTCATGGCAGATGCACATGGCAGTGAACTCCATTTCCACCCTTGCGGATACCTTCTTGGTGGAAGTGGACAATGATTGGCGTATATGTGCTGCCTTTGCAGTGGGGGCAGGAGCTCATTTCTCCAGGTGGCACTGATGACACCAAAGGATGAAGAAAATAGAAATAGAATGAGACTAGTCCTGAGACTCCCAACCTTTGATCCCCAAGTGGAAATGGAGGTCCAGATAAACATCATCGGTTATGTAATGGAGAGGAACTGTTACTGTTCTCTGGTGCTGAAGATGGAATCCAGGGTCATTAAATGTTAGGCAATTATTCTTCCCTTAAGATGCACTGTGATCTCCCCAGTGGAATTCTTTTCAAGTTTCCATAATTGTCAATTTAAGCAGTAAATAAAGGAAAAGTAATTTAAAATATACTTTTTATTTATTTTTGAGATAGGGTCTTTCTGTGTAGCTCAGGCCAGTCTCATTCTGCTGGCCCATCTCAATCTCTCCAGTGCCAGGGCTACAGGTACTTGCCATCATCCCCAGATAATTAATTTCTAATTAATGCTGACTGCTGACTATACATGCTTGTTTATGATTTGAATATGGAGCATATTCAGGTGGGCAAAGTGTATTAATAGCACATTATTTAATGTCATGTGAGATTAAAAACTGTATTTAATGGAGTTTTCTTGTACAATGGAGTTCTTATTTTGACAAAATATTTCAAGTCCTCTGTACAAGAATGTCTAGAGATATATAACAAATGTATGCATATTGACTTAGAAGTAGTCTGCAGTAACAAACTACACTTACTAGCAGTCTGTGTGGTCTGAAATCTCTATGGTTTAATGGCAGAATGGTTTATTTCTTTCTGTACACTGATGAGTGCCCATTGTAACATCCACGTATTGATGGAATTCCATGTGCCTTCACACCATCTTTTGCATTGAGGAAGAAGCTCAGTAAGTTGGAAGGCATAGATTTTTCAATTATCGATGGAGGCAGTTTTCCTTTCATTTCTGTCTGGACAAACATCACTAGCTTGGAATATGCTGGGTTTCTGTAAGCAAACAGAGTTACAAAAGATAAAGCATTCTTAACTTGGCCTTATGAAGTGACAAGTTTATAGAGAGCAGAAGTCATAAACTAATTCTCTTTGACTCTTTCTTTTGTGAATATGACAGGTTAACAATGGGGTGAAGGGATAGTGACCTGAGGTCACATCCTTATAAAACAAAAATTCTACATGAAATATTAAGTAGTCAGAATGTATACTAAAATTTTAGCTTTATTCTTTTATGTATTTGATCCTTTGAGTGGATATGCAGTCCTCAGAATGCCTACCTTTTCTTTTCTCTGAACATTTGTTCTACTCCTGTTTATGTAGCATTTCTAAACTTTATGTAGCACTTTTATATATGCAAATTGTTTACTTAATAAGAAAAACAATATCTGCCTCTATTAAAAAAGAAAAAAACAGGGAAATGAGAATTCCATACATAGGTTCCTGCATATATGTGCAGTTTTTTCAATGAGATATATTTATATATTGATCGTTTATTAAGCATAGATTCTTTTCTCATACAATATAATCTGAACACAGTTTCTCCTCCCTCTACTCCTCTCAATTCTTCCGCACTGCCCCTCCCATCCAGATCCACTCCCTTTCTCTCTCTCATTCAAAAAGAATATGCTTCTAGAAGATAACAAAAATAATACAATATAATAAGATAAAATGAAAACCATCTTATAGAACTTGGGCAAGTCAATATTATGTTTATATTTGCATAATTACTTTTATTAATTTCTCCCTCTTTGAAACAGAATTTGGCTGTGCATCTTAGCCTGTCCTTGAACTCACTATGCATCCCAGTCTGGCCTTGGATTCACTGTGCATCACAACCTGACCTTGAACTCACTGTGCATCTCAGTCTGGCCTTGAACTTATCATGGCAATCTTTTGCTTTCACTGCCCACATTCTATGGTTATATGACCACACCCAGCTACACACATGTAGTTTTAATCCTTAGATACTATGGTCATAGAAAACACATCAGAAAACTTTTAATTCATACTACCTTTTACAGTACATTGTAAGATGATTTTAAAAATTCAAGGCTATAAATATACTCTATTAGTAAATTATCATGTGAGAGGAAAAATTTCAAATGCAAATTCAAGGAGATAAGGAGTGATCTGTAGGCTCTAACCAGTAAAGAAGGGAAGGCTTTATGCACTTGAAATGAACAGTGTAATAGTGGATTCCAGTTCTTATGCTATAGAGTCAATCACATTAATTAGTAAGGGCTACAGATCCATTTAAATATAGTATATTTAGCATATTCTAGAATGTTCGCCACTAGTTCTTGTAAAATTCTATGTCAACTTAAAAATATGAGGCAGATAGAGTTTCACAGCATTGTTTTGAAATTCCACTAACTGATTGTGGGGTGCCACCACTTCTGCATCTCTCTACAAAGAGTTCAGATGGTTTTTGTCAGCCCTGAAGTTCTACTGAGTTCACCATGGGATCGCACACATCAGAAGATTTTCGGCTGTTTAAGGAGAGTGCTTCCGTATGGACAGTGTGTTTGATAAGTGTTCTGTAAAGCTCAATTACAAATCCCTCTGTCTAGAACCTTAGGCTGCATGGGAAGAGAAGACAAAGGACCATGGTTTCTGTAAGCATCTTTCTCCAATCTGTGAAAATGAGACTCACATTACTCCAGCAGGATGGAATGCATAGTCTGACCCTTCACAGCTTATCAAGACCATAAGAGATCCTGTCAAAGTTGATTCTCCTCATTCATTTGGAGCAGCAATTAGATTAGTTTGTACTGCCAGAGAGCATAGATCTTGGCCACACATTCAAAAGTGACAAATAAGTGGAAGAACCCCACATTATTACTCCTATTATGTCTATGTGAGGCAACAATTCTGTCCACTTAGGTTTAAAATAAGTTTTAAGTAGAAAAAGCATTAAGGAATACAGTACTAAAACTACAAATACATTTTCTCTTATTATGAATTTATATTTTGCCATCAAAAGTTTTATGTTCATTTTATGTGTCAATATTGTAGTTTAATAATAATAGCATAAATTAAAATAACTTGTGAGGTGGTATATGTACATGCATATGCATACTCCAATTCAATGCAATGTGTGCTTTTTCTGAGTTTATTTTAGATTACCATTTTATTCTTTGGTTGACCACCTGTCAGTAATACTTCATCTCTGATTTTGGCAGTTTTTAATCTTAATATACCTACCGGATATTTCATTCTGTAGATATTTTTAATCAGGTGATCCCATGTAAATAATTCATTCCTGGCTCATAAATGTATGCTGTAATTTCAGGGATTTTATTTTTAATTTAAATTTTTAATTTTGTTTTAGAATTACTCATGAAAATACAGTAGTACTGTACCTACATCATTTCTACCTCTCCCCCACCTAGCTCCTCCCATATCCCTCTCCCCACTCCCAGTCCTTTTCAAATTCATGACCTCTTCTTCAATTATTGTTCACACACACACACACTCACTCACACACACACACACTCACACACACACACTAAGGTCATTTAGTGCTGCTCATAAATGCATATGTTTAAAAATCCTTTAATTTACAGTGGAGAATATATCATGGAAAGTTTAGCTGTGAGACAATATTTGTGTGTTTTATTATGCCCAGAGACCTAGAATATATTTTATACCTAGAATATATTTTATATTAAATTATCTATTCTTCTATTTAAGACAAAAATATAAAAAGTTATTTTTAAAATTGCTTTTAGGGGCAGTTTTTTTTTCTCCCAACAAAGTATGTTGATAGTATTCCCATTGATAAGCTAGGAATTCTGAAGTGAATCATAAGTTGAAGTGAAAAATCCTGTTAGAACGAACACGTATAAATAACACTTACTCTCTGAGAGGTGAACATACGTAGCCAGAAGGATGATTATAGCCACGGATATAATGTGATGATGGGGGGTATCCTGGGAAGTCCACACTCTTAGCTGTGATTAAAGAAGTTGAAATGAGACACAGTTCACAAAGACAAAAATTATTTCTAGAAGCATAGAACGTGATAGCATTTAACTTCAATGTTAACACTAGTTTCACGGTGTACATATATTTGTACTAGCATCCCTAAAGATGCTTGTATAGTTTTTTTTAACAAGGAAAGCTCTTTAAAAGTATCATTTAGTTACTTTCTGAGGTTTGAAACAAAAGAACAAAGCATAGAGATTATTTTATTGGAGCTCATTGACTTTTAATAGTTTTTTTTCCATGAAATATCTGAGGTGCTTAGATACTTTAAATGCTTTCTTCTGTTAATTCCATGTACTAATTTCAAAGTGTAATAAAACAGTGGGTTTGCCTTAGTAATTAATTATGCAGCATAATATGTACGTTGTAGTGAAAAGAGGGAGGTGATTAAGATTAAATTTATGATTATTATATATTTTCTAAATAGTTTAGAAATATATAGCTTTTGCTACACCAGAGAACATGGATTTTCCTAAATTATTTTAACAAAGTCTATGCACAATGCAAAGTGAAGCACCAGTGCAGAGGAGTAATGTGGTGGAATGAATATTCCATTTTTGAATCACTCTCTAAACAGAACCACATTATAATGGTCTGGTTGTACTGCCAGAGTGATAAAAAATATTTTTCCATTTAAAACATGGAGACTACGATTGTATTCCTTTTCTTTTGCTAAATCTGTTAGTTTGCCAAGAAGTATGATTCTTTAGTGAAGCATGTACAATGGTATTAGCATTTATTTTGAAAATTAGAAAGGGCAGAGATTTACGTTTAGTCGCTTATTTGATAAGTAAATCATATTTTTACTGCTCAAGTTCTGGAAACTTCAGTTGTAACCTTAGTGAGACTATACATACAGAATATTTATCTCAAAGCAAGGTACAGAGTAAAGCTTTCGAAACACTTAGAAGGAAACTGACTATTCATTGAATGTTTAATTGGTGGAAATTTTTAAAGAAGAGTTAGCTTTGTTGCTGCACAAAATGAATGATTATTTCTAGTCACTGGTTTAAACTTATATGCTGCTGTGGATGGAATTTTTCATCCTGCCTGGTCCCGTGGCCATTTAGTCCCAAATAAACGCACAGAGGCTTATGTTAATTATGAACTGTTTAGTCTATTACTCAGGCTTCTTATTGGCTAGCTCTCTTAATTATTAACCCATTACTATTAATCTATGTATCTCCATGTGGTCTTGGCTTACCTGAGCATGCCTGGATGGCCTACCTTCTCAGTAGCTACATGGTGTCTCTTTGACTCCACCTACTACTTTTCTCTGTCCCTGTTTGGATTTCCCACCAGGCTAAAATCCTGCCTGTCCATTGGCTAAAACAGTTTTATTTATTGATTAACCAATAAGAGAAACATATTTACAGCACACAGAAAAACATTCTCCATCATCCATTATTATTTTTTGAGACAAGGTCTCAATATGTTGTCCTGGTTGTCTTGGAATTCACTATATACACAAAGATAGTCTCAAATTCTAGAGATTCACCCACTTTTGCCTCTTAAGTGCTGAGATTAAAAGCATGCTCCAATATGCATTTGTTTAGATAAACAGTACCTCTTGGGTCAGGTAAAATACCTGGCCTGTGTATATAGCACAAGCTTTTTGGTTCTACTGAGTAAACAAACAAGGAAAAAGAATTGAAACTACAGTTTCTTCTAAACTATTAACACTATTAAAGGCAAAACATTTTAGTGACACATTGTAATTCTAAAATATGGGCAAAATGTTTCAACTTACTACAGACAATGTCGATATTCCCTTCATAGTGCTTGATGTATACTACGTCGACAAAATCTCTAGGGGAAATTGAGCCCATGGCAAAACTTTGTGTAATGGTATGGCATATAAATGTGTCCTGCAACAAATCAAACCATAAAGATTGTAAAAACTAATGTTGATGAGTTGTTCCCTAAGAAGTTCACATGTATGTTTAGCCTGTCTTTAGAACAAAAAATAGGGTTAAGATGAATGTTAAGGCGGTCTCACTAAATCAACCTGAATTTTTACTGTTAAAGAACATTAGAGTCACAAGTACATATGCACAACATTCTGCAAGGAATCTGAACATCATTTATTCTATTTGTACACAGAGAAGACAAGGCCCATCTGTTCTTGTACAAATTAAGATACACGGGACTGGGATGAGATAGGTTAATTTTACTGGGGAGAAATCATTTACTTGAGAAACCGATAACCCAGGATCAACACAGTTGCCCTCTGTGACCCAACCAGAACCAAGAGAGCAAGTAAGCCTGTCCCTCACTCCAGACCAACTCCACTTGGTTGTCTGGGCGTGGTCAAGTGCCACAGGTGCACAGTTAGATCTCTCACTACACCCATCAGACGGAATCTTATGCACAGCTAGAAAGCAGTTGAGAACTAGAGCACTTTATGGCATAAGGACTAAATGAAAGAGCAGTGTTTGGAAGCATCCGGTGAAACTGGATTTAGAATGGATTAACTACAAATTCTTCAGACTCTGCACCAGCATATGAGACCTCCCAGAGTCCAACAGCCATTCTCATTGGAAGGGCATACAGTCACTACTTATCCCTTTCAGTGATTTCAGCTCTCTGTTGGCCTGGGTTTCGTGACAGACTCTTCTTGGAGAGACATAAAACACAGGTCTACACATCCTAGGAAGGGAGTCCATGAGAGAGCAACATAAAGGTACACCATATCCAATGTGGTGAACCAATGAATTTTATTGGGGTTACTTACAAGAAGATGGGTGGGACGTTACTTATTTACAGGAGCAGAAATGACTCAAAGACTTCTGCACTACCAAAGCCCACCCAGCACGGGTTAACAGCTCATAAAGGCTGGACACCTGGAGCTCACTGCTCCATCTGCAGGCATCAGAGCTGAGTGTTTATTCCAGGTGGCCTGTTTGAGCCTCTTTAGGCATCTCTGCTGGTCTTAGTTTCTTCGAGGACGTTAGGCAGTTCTCTGCTTCTTTCCGACTCGACTCCTTGGCTTTTCTGAATGATGCTCAGCAGTCTTTACTTCTCACATACTCACCAAGAGGGAGGAGCCTTGTGAATCTGGTCAGTTAGATAACCAGAGGCTATGGGAGGCAGGCTTGTGGTACCAAGATGTATAGAAGTTTCCTCCAGTTTAAAGCCTCACGGGCACAGTGCTCAACTCAGTGTTTTTTTGTTTTGTTTGCTTGTTTTACCTTACATTTGATAAAATCACCTATTTTTAAGTACGCTGTTCTATAGTTTTCTAAAATGTGTTTAGTTGTCTAACCTTCATCACAATCCTGTTCCAGCTCATTTCTGGTTCTTCATCCTTCAGTACATCCTATTGCCTCCTGCTCTAGGCTGTCTGCCATCCTTTGATAACCCTTGCTTCATATCCCTACTGTCCTAGTGTAAACCACAGTAAGATTTCATTTAGATTACTCTGATAGCTTCCTAACTGTTCACACTAATTTCATCATTTTTCCCCTTCAGTTGTGATGGAAAGTTTTCTGGGCATCCTAATCTGATTTACCATCTGTGGTCTTTCAGAACCTGCTCTTCTGGATTTTAGTGTTTCCACTGAAACGGTAGCTGTTATTCTTTTAGAACTACCTTTGCATGTAGTCAATTTTTCTTGCTGCTTTGAATACACTTTCTTTCCTTTTGTATTTTGTGCTTTAACTACAATACTGCAGTGAGTGCTTCTTTGGGGTTCTATTTGGTGTTCCACATACCTCTTGTGTCTCTTTGATTAGATTTGGAAAATTTTCTATGATTTCAACTGAAAATATTTTCTAGGCATTGGCATGGAATTCTCCTACTGCACCCATAATTTGAAGGAGATCTCAAATATTCCATTTATATTTAAATGTTACTTCCTTTTTTTTTTTTTTTTTTTTTGGTTTTTCGAGACAGGGTTTGTAGCTTTGGAGGCTGTCCTGGAACTAGCTTTTGTAGACCAGGCTGGCCTCGAACTCACAGAGATCCGCCTGCCTCTGCCTCCCGAGTGCTGGGATTAAAGGCGTGCGCCACCAACGCCCGGCTAAATGTTACTTCTTAACTGAGTGATTCATTCTTTTTCTACCTTATCCTCAAGCTTTGCTGTTCTAGCTTCTATGTGATACATTCTATTGTTTATTTTTTTAATTGAGTTTTTAATTTGACTTGAGTTTTCATTTTCAGCTTTGTAGCTTCATGTTTTTTTAATGTTTCTATATCTTTATTGAGTCTTGTTTTCATATCCTGAATTGATTTTATTTTATTAGCTTGATTGTTTTGTTTTCTTGGAATTATTGGAGTAACAAGAGTTATTTCTTGTCTTTAAATTCTTTTACATTCTTTTGGGGGTTTGTTTCCTTATTCAATTCTTTGAATTTTTCTTATAAATCTTTCAAATTTTTTGAAGTTTTGTCTATGATGGTCTCATTAGGGACCATTACTATAGGATTGATGATCTTCAGAAAAGATATTTTATTTTGTTTTTCACATTGATTGACTATTTACATTGGGATTTGCACATATTTTAAAATATTGAACACTTCATGGGTCTGCATGTCATGCTTACATGGAAGTAATGATTTTTAGTATGTGTGCTGCCATAAAATGTTCTTTCATTTAGTTCATGCTTTGCCTTGAGGCTTTCAAAATGTTTTGACTCTCTCTCTGTCTCTCTCTGTCTCTGTCTCTGTCTCTCTCTGTGTATGTATGTGTGTGCTCACACACACGTTTACGACAGTGTATGTGTAGAGGTTAGAGGTTAAACCTTGGTTGTCAATTTTTGCCATCCACTTTGATTTAAGCAAGTCCTCTTTGTTGTTTGTTACAACAGGCTAGCTGGCCCATGAGTTCTGAGACTTCTCCTATTTTCATGTTTCATCTCCCCCATAGAAGTGCAGTGGTTATAGTTGCTACTTTGACTTTAAAAATTTTTTTAAACATAGGTTCTTTAGGATAACTCACCAGTCCTGGTCTCTAATTTTTAACAGTAGCTACTGTTTCTTCTTCAGTCCTTATGGTGCTTATCAACACTGTAGCTGTTTTCTATTGTCACATTCATAAACTAAACTCTTCCAGGACACTTATAGTCATATTACTGATTAGACAGGAGAGTCTCCAGTTCCAGGCCAGAATGGGCAGTGTAGGGAACACTGAGACCATGTGAGTTTCTTAAAAACCAAAACAGCAGCAACAAAACCCCAAAACCCATAGTTGGAGATGACTCAAGGATAATTGCACACATCCTTTTCTTTCAGGGAACTAGGGTTTGGTGTCCAGTATCCACATCAGATAGCTCCCAGTCATTAGTAACTACAGGTCCATGAGGATGCTAGCTCCTTGAGCAACTGCACTCATGTGTATATACCATGCTGCCCCCTCAATATAATTTTGACTCCTCAACACATGTTTAAATTTGTTTCCATATAATAGAGGTAGATATCTAAGTTTAATTCCATCATAACAAAAACTACACATGAGAGACTGTCAGATTAGGAATTTGGTTGTTTACAAACAGAAAAAAAGCTCATTGGAATTAAACTCTTGACTAATAAAAATGGATATTTGAAGACTTTTATAACATTGCAGCTAGGCGTAGTGGTTCATGCTTATAATTGTATCACTCAGAAAACAGATGTTGAGAGATCTGGGCAAGTAGGTAAGATCTGGTCTCAAACCACATTTTAATAAAAGTAGTGGTGTGTGTGTGTGTGTGTGTGTGTGTGTGTGTTTGCTTGGCATGTAAATGGCCCTTAGTTCAATCTTCAATCCTGTAATTAGAAACAGCTAATTTGAGACTATAAGACATATATTGAATACTACACAGTTTTAATAACTCATACTATTAAAAGTATAGTACTACAGTAAATAATTATTTATTATTAAATAGTAATTACCGAATCAATCTTGTGTACTACATTGTATCCTTTCAATGATTTGTCCCATGTAACTCTGTTCTCAGGTTGGTAGAGGAAATTGGAGAGTTTAGCTGTTGATTCTGGAATTATTCCTTCAATACGATATCTATGGTTATCAAAGTAAAGAAAATTTAAAAATTTAGTTTAAGCTGAAGACATAGGACTATTGAAATTAAATATAGCAAACAATAGTAAAGAAATTGTGAAACTGAGTATCTGATATCTCACATACTTGGGACCAAAAATGTTTTTTATTTTGATGATTTTTATTTATTACATTTTATGTGTAATAGACATAAATATAATTTATAATTTTTGAGTATTTGCACATATATAATGAGATATCTTGGGGATGAAAACTAAGTCTAAGCACAAGATGCATTTGTACTTTAGATTCTTTATATTACATATTCTAAAGGGAATTTTATATATTTTAAATAGCTCCATTTATACACTGTATCGAATGTGAAATGGCATAGCTTATTTAAATAAGCATTGTAGCAATTATTTCAAAGTTCACTTTTCTAGCCAGGCCTCATGGCACAAGTCTGTAATCTCAGCTACTTGGGAGGTTGAGCAGGCAGAAGGTGAGTTCAAGACTAGACTGGGCAATTTAGTGAGATCCCATCTCAAAATGGACAAAGACAGTTTGAGGATATAGTTTAGTTCAGTGGTAGAGAATGTTCCCAGCATGGGTACAGCCCCGGTGTGTCTGTGTAGTAATTACATTTTTATAGACAATGACTTTTAAATTCTGTGTGATGCTATCCATCACGAAGCTGAGGTGGTGGGAGAAAACTGGACTCAAATTCACTCTTAGCAGAAGGTTGCCAGCTGAGAGTGAAATCAGACAGTATGGCCACATCCTTACTCTTTTATTCCTTTCTTTCAAAGAAGGAGAATAGATGTTTCCAGGTGAAAGGTTTAAGAGTCTAAAAAGTTAAAATTTCTTCATAGAGTATGTAAAGAACAAAAATGTCATTATTACAGAGAAGAGCAGTCACATGTGTGGGAAATTATTACCCTCAAGTTTTGCTTTGTATTTACTGAGGCTGCACCAAACTATGTAGGCTTGACTGTGCAACATTTTATGAGGCTCAGGATGGTCTCAAAGTTAAGTACTCCCTGCCTCAAGCTCCTGAGTGCTAAAGCTAGAATTACAGGCATGTGCTGTTGTATCTGGCCGGCTTCTAAGATTTGGTCAGACAAGGAATTCTTTAGACGACTTCCTTGTATACTTGACTTTTCCTTCAAAAGCTTCACTGGTTCCCAATTTCCTCTATGAGATATTATGAAATTCCTTAATGTAAAATTTACTTCCTTCATGGCAAAACATTATTTATTTCGCCTTTTTGAGATAGGGTTTATATAGCATTGACTGTCCTGGAACTTTCTCTGTAGACCAGGCTGGCCTCAAATTCACAGAGATCTGCCTGCCTCTGCCTCCCAAGTGCTGGGGTTAAAGGCATATGCCACCACTGCCTGGCCTTTCAAAAATATATTCCTGCCGGGCGGTGGTGGCGCACGCCTTTAATCCCAGCACTCGGGAGGCAGAGGCAGGCGGATCTCTGTGAGTTCGAGGCCAGGCTGGACCAACAGCCTCCAAAACAATACAGAGAAATCCTGTCTTGTAAAAACCAATATATATATATATATATACATATATATATATTCCTTAAGATTTATTTATTTATGTACTTGGGTATTTTGTCTGCATGTTCATTAGCATACCAGAAGAAGACATCAGATCCCATGGAATTAGAGTTATAGATGGTTGTGAGCCACCATGTAGGAGTTGGGAATTAAACTCAGGACCTCTGGAAGAGCAACCAGTGCTCTTAACTACTAAGTCATTCCTCTAGCCCTCAAAAATTTTTTAAGAGGTTACTATTTGAGAGAGAGAGAGAGAGAGAGAGAGAGAGAGAGAGAGAGAGAGAGAGAGAGAGAAAGAGAAAGAGAAAGAGAAAGAGAAAGAGAAAGAGAGAATGATTGAGCGAGCACTCAGTTTTAAGCCTGGGGAGAAAATACCCAAATAGTTACCATGTAATGCAACAAAGTCAGACATGAAACAGGTAAAATTTACAAATTTTACTTCTAAACAGTACAAGTTTCTGTTCAGACGTTTGCACACACTGCCAGATCGTCCTTTACTTATCTAATGTGTCTCTGTAGTAAGACTGTAAACTCTAATGATAGTGACACCTTTTTGTATTTCTAACCTACACCTAACAACACCTAATTACCCTTCATAAAGCAGTTATTTCTGTAATGTAGTTGCTGATGACTAACACTCTTGTAATAGTCGTTCACCACGTGATACCAAATGTAAACCATTAAGTGTACTTGTAAGGGTATATTTTCTAGACTTATGTACTTCATACTGGTGGACAGTTAGACATGTAATCCAAGACCCCACTGGAAAGAATGGTGGACAATCTAGAAAGCACAGGGATATGGAGGGTAAAGAGGGGAACACTTGTCAAAGTTCTTTTTGGGAGATTTGGAAGTCTGTTTATGATTATTTTAGATAATATTGAACTGTTGGCATTACTGATACTGATTCTTTTAATTGTGATATATATGTAAAGTGTTAACTTTTCAAATTATCTTATTAATACTACATGAATGAATTTTATAATTTCTATTACATGTGTGTGCCTGCATGAGGGTATGTATATCATATGTATCCAGATGCCCACCGAGGCAGAGGACATGGACTCCCTTAGAACTGGAGTAAAAGGCAATAGTGAACTACCTGATGTGGGTGCTTGAAACTGTATGTCAGTCCTCTGGGAGACTATCAATCCTTAATGACTGTGGCATCTCTCCAGTCCTTTTTGTTTAGGAAGATACTAAAACCATGATGGATGCTATACTAAATTAGGGCTTTTCATTTTGGTCACTGCAACTTTAGCCATTATTTTTGTTGTTATACAATTTTAAATTAATTTGAATCTCAATGCTGTTAGTTATAAAATATATAACTATCTCCTGTGTCTTTCTCAGGGACTTAAGAAAGGGTTAAATGTATTGATAGTAACCATCAACATAACCCACAGTAAGGAACTAACTGATAGGAAAAAAAGGCATGCTCTCTTGGTAATGGTAAATAAGCATTTATGTTGAATCAGCAAACGTACACTCTGGTAGATGCCTTCTCTGGATAAATGTGCCTCAATTATTCCATAATACACGGGACAGATTTAGGGTTCAGAAGACATAATGACTAAGGTAATACAGACAGCCTTTGAAGTGAAGTCCTGGTTCCTAAAAGTTTTCATTTCCTGATTACAATATGGGTACCTTGGGAACAGTCACCCATGTAGGGCTTTGTATGATGATATTTATATTATGGGATACATGGGGAGTAAATTAAACTTTTATGTGGTATAATGCCTGACATAACGTTACAGGAATGTATAGTTTAGGGTAGACAGGGACAGATGTTCCTTTCTTCTGATGCATAAAACCAAGAGTTCAAAACTAACCACTAAAAGCCCCTGGGGGAGCAGTAAATTATTGACAAAAAGCACAAATGCTAATAAAATATATAAATTACTTCTTTTTTGAGACAGAGTTTCTCTGTGTAACTGACCCAACTGTCCTGGAGCTTGTTTTGTAGACCAGGTTGGCCTTGAACTCACAGAGATCAGCCTGTCTCTGCCTCCCGAGTGCTGGGATTAAAGGTGTGTGCCACCACCACCACCACCCAGCTAGATTACTTTCATAATGCATTTTTATTTCACTTTCTGTTTGATAATCAATATAACTAAAGTCCATGTAGTCACTAAATAAATATGCCATGTGTCTATATGGCAGGCAGTGGTCTGGTACCACAAAAAACAAGGGTGACTTATAGCTAGGCTTATTCTTATTCAAGTTCCTGTTCATACCACTTCATATTCTAATAAGACATACATGATGAATTAAAAGATAAATACCATATAGTGTCACCTATGAAGGTTACAACTGTAGAATAGTTAAACAGGGACTGTGTACATGTAGGGCATTTGACCTGGTGGGCAGGACGGTCATTCTGAAGATGAGATAGTGAAGCCAAGAACCTGACAATCAAAACTGACATCGGCTTTGGAGAGCAAGCAAAAAAGGAACCATGAAGGCTCTGTGGGCTCAGCACAGGGTATTTGACAACAGACCTCTCGAGGGAGAAAGAGGATGAAGTGACAGGAAGTGAGGTCCTGGGAGTGCTTGGAAGTCATGGTAAAATGTTTGGATCTTATTTTAGGTTGAAAGAAATCCTCTAAAGGATTTCATGAAGACGAGTGACAAAATCTGAGTTGTATTTTAAGCCTCTGCTTAGAGCGCTGGGTGAACAATGGGATGCAGCTGAGGAAGAACAGAGCCCAGGAGCTATTCACATAATCCACTGGGAGACGGCAGCTGTAGCAGGGCAGCCAAAGGACCTAACAACAGCTCACTACTACTCACTACCCCTGTGTTTGGTTACACAGGGCCTCTACATGGATCCAAGCTTGATACCAATGACCCTTCTCTAGTCTGTTTTAACACTGCATTCCTATTAAAACAAGATCAGTGAGGCAGCTTTGAGCTTGTGACTGAAGAATGAAGTGCTGCAGGGACCCAGCATTAGCAGCTGCACCTGTGAGAATCCACATCAGGGGTCCTGTGCCAGGCAGACTGGAGACGTGACAGAGGAGGGGCATGCGGATCTGAATGGGAGATTACCAATGCTCACAATCCTCCTTTTCTGCTACAGTCCAGGGCAGACAGGGATCTAACCCACGCACCACGGGACCACCAACTGCAGGAGGAGACTAGAAATTCACCAGCAAAAGTGAATGGCTATGGCTTAGCAACCGGGCGTGTGTGTGTGTGTGTGTGTGTGTGTGTGTGTGTGTGTGTGTGTGAGAGAGAGAGAGAGAGAGAGAGAGAGAGAGAGAGAGAGAGAGAGAGAGAGATTCATCAGATGAGTTGGTTGTTTGAGAAGAATAAGATTGACCAAATGATAGCTAAACTAACCAAAAGAGTAATACAATCTAAATTAATAAGATTAATCAAAATATACATGTAAAAAACATAGCCTTTTAAATAAATGGTGCTGGACAAGCAGACTATTAGCCTGCAGACAAATGAAATTGAGTCTGTGTCTCTCACCTTGTACAAAAATCAATTCAAACTAGATCAAAAACCTTAATGTAAGACATGACACTCTGAAACTGGAAAAGAAAAACACTTCAGGATGCAGGTATATGACTCAAAGCCTGACAGTGTAGTACATCGTCACAGATAGCATTGACATACAGTTAAAAAGCTACTGCACGGTGAAGGAAACCAACCGAGAGGACAGAAGCCTACAGAGCGAGAGAACCTTGGGCAGCTATACTGCACACTATTAATAGCTAGCCTGTATTGAAAACTGCAACACACCGGCCAATAAACTGAGCAGACATCCTTCACAAGAAGAAACACAAATGTGCAGTAAAAAGGTGAGCTGTGGAACTAATAGTGCTTTGGGCACCTTGCAACCCCCAGGTGCTCCTAACACTGTGAGAATGAAGCTATTCTTCCACTAGTCCCTTCACAGTCTACAATTCCATCCAGTCTCCTTCCCTACTAGTTATTCTTAGCTGCAGCGGTTCAGTAGGCCTTGTAGTAGGACAATACTGCCACCCACTGTTTGAAAATTTCACTACCCCACACCCTCTTCCTTTTTGATTCCTTGCTCTTTTTCTGTACTCATTCTTCTTATTTAACTTCTCCTGAAGTCCAGGGGCTGGCCTGGTTTATGATATATGGGGACATGCTTCCCACATACATACGCCGTTTTCCTACTGCGATCATTCCCACTCCTGTGTACAGCCCTCTTCTCAACTTCCCACCTAACAACCAAGTACCTATCACTAGTATCGTGAGTGATGGCCTCTTTTTTCCCCCATTCCATTCATACTAACATATTAATATATACAATACTACCAGGGTATCTTGACTCCTCAAATTAATCAGTATTTATCAAGGGTTGTTTTGCTAATCTACTTTCAGAGTGGTTAACCATTGGATAGCAATATGCTGCAGGTAATACTTAACCCACAGGACCCATTACAAATAGAGTCCTGTGCTGAAACACAAATCTAACAGACAGAAACATCACCACAGCTGTACTACAGTCCAGTCTCCCACAAACACTGCACATAGACCTGTGAGCAGAAGAAAGGCAGAAAGAATTAGAACAACAACAAAAATCTTAACCAGTGTTCTAATTCAAGATAGGTTGATCCCAGTGAGGAAACACAAGTAACATGAAGCCAAGACAACCTGACACCTGCTAACAATGACAATCCCACAGTAATGATCCCCATTAAAATGACTTAGATGAAATTACAGATACAGAATGTACGAGAATGGCTAAAAATATGGTAAAACACTTCAGAGGACTCCCTTATTTACCAAGAGAATATTAACAGCGGAATGAAATAAAGAGATCAATTCATAACACAAAAATAAGACTTAATAAAGACACAGGAATTCTGAGAAAAACTCAAATGAGTATGGAAATGAAAAATACAATAGATAAATAAAAGTATAGTTGAAAACTTTGTCAATACAATGGATCATGTGGAAAAGAATACAATCAGGATATGAAGATAAAATATAGGATTGGATCATCCAATCAAAGGCAATGATAAAAGGTGAAAAATGTATGAATGGATTATACAAGAAATTTTGGAGTTTTTGAAAAGGGAAGGCTATGAATTATAGCCATACAAGAAAGAGAAGAATTTCATGCAAAAGGCATACAAAATATTTTTAATAAAATTTTTATTTTATAATAAAATAAAATATTTTAATAAAATAAAAAACCATAGCAGAAAATTCTGCAAATAGGGAAAGAGAAGCCCATTCAAATACGAGAGGCACACGGAACACCAAATAGGTAGAAAAGAAACTCCCTACCATCATTATAGTTAAAACCTAAATTTACAGAACAAAGAAAGTATATCAAAAGCCGTGAAAGAGAAGGGCCAAGTCACTTACGAAGGTAGGTCATCAGAATAACTGGCCTTCAATCCAAACCAAAAAGGGATGGGACAGGTGTCTTTCAGACTTTAAGAGGTCACAATTGCCAACCTAGTCTAATGTATGCAGTGAAACTATCTGGGTATATCAAAATTGAAAGTGAAGGAAAAGAATGTCCATGACAAAAGCAGGCTAAAGGAATGGTGGGGCCCACAGTAGCCTAGGTCTTCCCGTATCAATTAGTTAATAACCCCCCCCCACACTGACCTACCATAGACCTACCTGATCTAGAACATCCTTCACTGACACTCTTTTCCTAAGTGAGTCTAGATTCTATCAAGCTGACCGTTAAAATAGGTTTTAATTCCCTGGTATGCCTGGGCTTGAGTTTATTTACACCTTCGGTTTATTTTTGAAAGTGCCACTATGAAGGCCATCTTTTGCTTAGACAACAAAAGAAAAATTATTTTTTTGGTATTTATTAAAATTAATAAGAGAAATTCATACTATCTTTATCTATTAATATAAAAAATGACATGCAGGAGAGGGTAAGGCAGGAAAAGCTAAGTTAGCATGACCTATTTCCAAAACCAACCAACCAACAACAACAAGAACAAATTTACAAAAACTGCTGTACAACTACAGGTAGACTTTAGTAAGATGAAAAACAAACAAGGTCAACCACAAAAAAATCCCACTGACAGCCAGAGGAACAAGTACAGGATTTCAAAGAAGTGTTTTGTAAACACTTGGTCATGGTTTTCTCAATAACACAATGATCTGAGGGAACAGATGTGATACCAGGAGCTATAAAAATGTCAGCACATTCACCTTTAGTGTTCAGTCCTCAAAAACATGCTTTAAAGCACTTTATAGGAAAACAATCTGCACTTAAGGGAAAGAGAAAAAAATTGATGGGGAATTTTTTTAAGTGGCTTGAGAGAAAGATGAAGGATTCTAAATATCATAAAAATGCTACACTGAAGAGATATGTCACTACACTTTTGCAGAACTTTTATATCCTAGTGAATTAGAAGGAATTTTTTTATCCTAGTGAATTAGAAGGATTTTTTGGTGCATGTATCATCGTTTTCTGGTGTTAGGAATGGATCTCAGGGCCTGTGCATTCAAGCAGAGTGCTCTACATGGTCCAGAAGGGATTACTTTGGGATTGTATTCATGTGTGACAATTATTGCACAATACATCATTGCTCTATTTTATGAAAATCACATGACTTCATGCATCATTTCCCAGTAACTATTAAATAGTTTGTTCTAGTTAATGAAGTGGTGTTGACTTCCAGATTTGCTAATGTCACTGAATTTAAAACACTGACTGTAAATGGGAAAATGTACTCACAGATTTCCGAGGAATATTCTAGAGGTCTTGCTGGAAACAGTTATCTTTTTCTCAAAGGGGAATAAAATCCAGAAATAAATTAACTGTCAGATACAGAAAACAAAACAAACCAAAAACAAAACAACACTAAAATTATGTTTTTTGGCTTATAAAAAAACACATTTTAAAGTGTCTTTACAGTAAAAAGTCATTAAAAAAAACTCTTGAAAAATACTTTTTTCTTACTGAAGATTTAACTACTTTCCAGCCAGATATATCTTGAGCGTAAGCTAAAACTTCTTCAGCAGTTTGTTGTGCAATTGCCTTATAGTCCATCTACCTGTGAAAATTTAAAAACAAATGGTTGGTAAAATATAATCATGTAAATAAGAAAATGCCATGTTGCAGAAATTGGTTTTGAACTCAAGAACTGAAGTCACTCTTCGGTCCCAGTCTCTTAACTAACTGTTACTATAGATGTGCTCTGTTATATTTTAATCCTATTTTTATGACCTCTGTCATTTAGCAATGCACAATAATTACTTGATCACTTGCATCGACAAAACTTTTTTCAAATGAGAAAATGTGCTATCATGTAAAAAGTCAAACTTTGGAATCAGGGACCTGGGTGAAATTGGTTCTTTGCTCTGTGTAAATATGGTATGTAATATTTCTACTTATTTTCTTCTTGATGTAAAATTGGCATGTACATAACATCCTGTAGTGTCAATGTGTTAAATAAAGTCCTAAATGTGTTAAACAAATGCCCAAAGTATGGCACGTTATAGTTGTTCAATAAACCATTATTTCTAAAAAGCTTCTTTTTTTCCTTATGATGTGTCACACTCTGTTTGCCAGGTGCTCATGGGATTAACCTTGTTAAAGTGAGTGGCAGAGGCCGCATATGATTCCTCTTCAAGCATACACCCATCAGTCATCTTCCACTTAGCCATAATCTCCTGGCAGTCTTCAAATACAACCAAGAATCTGCCTATCTCAAGGTCCTGGCGTTTACAGTACTCTCCTTGGAAAATTCATGAGAGATTATGCTTCAATGAATCCTTTACTTAAATGTCAACTATTCAGACAAGATCGTATTCCAAGCAATTCAGTTAAAACACATTTACTAGGTCTCTCCTTGTTAGAAAGTACTGCCAATGACTGTTTTCATTCACTACTTTCACAGACTGAAATTGGGTGATGATTAGGTCATGAGACTTCATGGATAGGATTAGTGTCTTTCTAAGTGACTTCAGACATCTTATTTGCCCCCTTTGCCCTGAGGACATAGTCATAAAGTGGCAGTCTGCACTCCAGAAGAGTGCCCTGACCAGAAACCAAACATTATGGCATTCTGGTCAGACCTATAGCCTCCACAACTGTGAGAAATCAACTTTTGCTATTCATAAACCACTTAGTCTATGGCCATATGCAGTAGTTTCTCAAAGGGACTAAGTACAACAGTATGCATAGCAAAAACAATAACGATACTGTGCCTGTGGTGAATGTGTTCAGGCAGCTGGGGCATCATCGATCCTTCAGCCCACCAACCAGTTTTCAGTTAGGGAAGCTCTGGAGAGGTGTTACAAAGAACCCGATAACATATCTAGGTTCAAAGCCCAACTCTGACACAAAAGCTGGCAAAATGCTTTGGCTTTGAATTTCAACTTCCTGCATTTATAGAAAGGAGATAATAATAAGCATGGGATCCATAAAGGCTAACAGAGTAATATACAAACATGCTTGAAGCAGTGAAGGGTTTTGTTCAAGGTGCTCAAATAAGGTTAGAACCATCATTAAAAAGTTCTTCAAATAACTGGCTCCTAAGCATATTAATATATCTTAACATAGAAGTAACACAACATTTAGAAGACCCTTAGCTCTCACTTAAAATGCTCTGGGCTGGATCACAAATTTGTATTCTCTTGCCTAGTTTCCTAGAAAGGCAGAATAACTAGGTGATATTTTTAATAATAGAAAAGCCACTTTAGACTCCTGGTTTCTTTACCTTTCTTAACAAACCTAGTCCAGAACTTTAGTGCCCATTGAAACTATTCTCCAAATCCTGGTAGAGATCTCCATATCTGTTATCCTGTAAGGGGATAAAGTGGAGGTAGAATTAATTTGATGCACGACTTATGTCAACATATTTTATAATTTCTTTTGCATCTTCATATTGTCCTTCATTAACACTTTATATCTTGAGTAAAAATACATTCCTAGGGTGGAAGTAAGAGGTCTTACTTCTCTATTGCTGAGATAAAATTATTCCTGTGATAAACACCAGGACCAAGGCTGCCTGTAAAAGACAGCATTTATTTTGGAGTTTACGGTTTCAGAAGAGTCCACCATGACAGAGCAAAGGCATGGCGGCAAGAACAGTGGGGAGCTCCAAAGCCAGAGGCAGACACACACACATGCATACGCACACGCACACAGAAAATGGCTACACCTCCTAATCCTTCCCAAATAATTCTACCAACTGGAGACCAAGTATTCAAACAGCTGAGCCTCTGGGGCCATTCTTTTTCAAACCACTATCAGGTAGTTGAAAATAACTGGTTTTGTTTTTGTTTTTTCCAGTAGTGGGGATTGAATTTATCATCTTAAGCAAGTGTTCTACCACCTCGCCACATCCCAAAGCCAAGAAACATAAAAGCTATTGCTTATTTAAAAAACCTTTAAAAGATGAAATTTAGGTTTTTAAAGAACTATAGTTTTATTAAAGTAATGCATAAACATCATTTGGCCGGTCTCCAAAATGGGCTTGTTCTAGAATAAGAAACACAGGCTTTTATTTCTCAGTGACTTGCCTAATACTGGTCTAGACATTTCACAATTATTGGCATGTATCACTAAGTTTCTGCATGGGCTGTATTTTTTTTTTATTTTAAAAGCATTTCACATTTCCACAATAGACGTGTGCTTAATGAACCACTGAACAGTATTTTATGGCATCTGACAATTTCGTTTGCTAAGAGAAACAGGAAGTTTAGGAGGCCAGGGATGGTGCAAAGGAGCAGGACACAGCCAAATAATAGTTCTATTACCTGATGATGTAACATTGGATGAACTAGAATGTATTCAGATGGAAGTCAAGGATGTCTTCAGCCATAGGGTCAGTGGAAAACAAACACAGACCAGTTTTGAGATAGCATCTTTTTTTGGTAGAGCACCCGGCTGCAACTTGATTCTTCCCACCTCATATCCTGTTCCAGCCTGATACACAGGTTCACACAAGTTAGTGATCTTTATGCTTGTATAATTTCCCTTTTTTCTGTGCTGCCCGACCGGGTCCCTAATCCGTGTTGGGTCACTGCCATTCTTTCCTGAGAATCAAGGTCCCCAAAGAGTTTGTTAAATCCCAGCACAGGTCCATCCGACTTCCTTCCCCAGTCCTGAATCTGCAGCGTGTTTGAGATGGGTGGAGGCCCAGGAGGGTCAGAGCTCTGGGGCCGGATGGGGATGGGGAGGAAGGGCGTAGTGGGCAGAGTGCCCGTAGCTGACTTGGTTCCTATCTTGGGAGGGGATGCTCTCAAGTCGCGGGAGGGCTGAGGATCTGGCCCAGGGACCCGCTACTGAGGGCGCCTCCGAGTCTCCTGTATCCTAGTTCCCTCCCACAGCCCGGGGAGCCCAGCGGGCCATTCGCGCTGCGTGGCGGAGAAGAGCAGTGGCCTGGGGTGAGGGTGGCGTGGGTCCTGGATGGAGTCTAGAACCTTCCTATCCAGCTCAGAGAGAAGACAAGGGAGAAACCCCACCTCCCCCGAGGGACTGCGATCTAACGCCCCGCAAGGCCCTTTGACCTCTGAACTCTGCGCGGGGCTCTCGAGCCCCCCCCCCCATCACCTCCCCGAGCCTAGTGCTGCGCATGCGCCCCGCGGGCCGGCGGCGCCATGTTGGTTCGGTTTGAATGCGAGCGCGGGCGTCGAGCCGGCCTGTGGCGGCTGAGGGAATAGCGGTCCCCGAGGAGGAGGGCGGTGTCCGGTTCAGGGATGCTTTGTCGCCTTGTCCGGTTTGCGAAGGGCCTGGGCTTTCGACCGAGGGTCTGGAAGTGTGCGCTTTAAAAAGTGTCCCGGTGAGCTGTCGCGCATCCTTCCCCGGCGGGACGGAGGAGGGGGACCCGCCCCGGGGAGGGAACTCTATGGAAGAAGAGTGGGGCCGTCCCGGGGTGCGGTGGCCGTGGGGCGCCGGCGGGGCTCGGGGCGGGGGGCTTGAGGTTCGGGGGACGCTGTCACGCAGCGTCTGCTCGGTCTGGGCAGGATGAGTGTACTCACTGAGGGCTACGTCTGTGCCCGCGACCCACAGGGACGCTGCCACCCCGCAGACACCGATGGACCAACTCTGTGCACCCCAAGGTCCGCGAGAGTCACCGTGTCCCCGGCCCATCGACGTTCCCTCTGCAGACTAAGCCGGCCTTGGCCCCCACGCTCCAGAACTCTCAGAGCTGCGGCGTCCTGGAGTTGCTCTGAAGTTGCGGAGCGATCCGGAGTTAACGTCCAGTGCAACAACTTCCTTTGCGCTCTTGGCACAGACAGTCTGTGTTTGGAACCAAGGGGCTTGGGATTTCTTGCCCTAAGTTTACCATTCAACACGATGAATTTCACTTTGGAGGTTTCAAACCGACACGCTCACGGAGGGGAAGGGTAAGATATATGGAATTTGCTTAAAATACGTGTAATTCAGTCCTGTGGCTGAAATGGAAGTGGTGGTGGGGGGTATCATAAACAGTTAAAATGTTTTGATAACTGTTGGGAGCAGGGCTGTAGGTGCTCAGGGGTTTCTTAAACTATTCTGCTTTTGCACAGGCTTGAAAACTTTGCCTAAGAATTCCGGGTTTTCTTTTTTTTTGCCATGTAAATGGAGCGCTAACCCTCAGCCACCCACAAATCCAACAGCTTTCCCTCTGAAGAGTCTGCTTGTTCTTGAGGCTTTGTGTAGAATTGGCAGCCGAATTTGTATTCTGATAAGACATAAATGGTACTCAAGCGGGTTTAGTTGGGCTAATTTAAAGATGCGTAAGAAGGATAAAGAAAGCATAAAATTGACTTTTTCTAGTTCTTCTTTAAAGAAAAACCAATAGCAGGGTGTTGAGCAACCACGAATATTATATTCTGATGTTGCTAACCAATGCTACTTCCTCCCTCAGCCCCTAAGCGCTAGGAATACAGGCAGGAGCAACTACAACCCTCTGACTCATATTTAATTAGAAAAGTTGTTATATTTTAAAGTCAAACTTGTCATTGCTAGTATTACATTAAACAAAAAAAATTTCAAAATTATCTCCAGATTTAAATGTTTGACCTTGCAACGTCATCGAATCCTATGTGTGAATTTTTAGTACAGAAAATACTTCAATTCTCAATAACTTTTATGCTCTGAGATAATACCTGTCTGTTCTATTCTTGTTTACAAATATACTCTTACTGTTATGCTTAGTTCTCTCAATTTTACTAGAAAAACAGAACGTTGAATACATTAAAAGAATTTCCAAATCAGTTAAAACTTGTTTAAGAAAGGTGAACTGAATCTATTTAAGAATTAAAAATACAGGAACTAAAGAAACTGCACTGGTTAAAAGCACTGACTGCTCTTCCAGAGGACGCAGGTTCAATTCCTGGCACCCACACGTGGCTCACAGATGTCTGTGGCTGTAGTTCCAGGGCATCTGCAGCCCTTTCTGGCCTTTTTGGGCACCAGGCACACATGTAGTACACAGACACACAGATAGGCACAAAACCTGTACACATAAAATAAGATTTAAACAAATTAAAAAAGAAAAATATCAAGGATATGAAGGTTAAGAGGACATTCTTATTTTTAAAAAGGCTTATAGCTGGCCCACTCTGAAATAAGATTTGTTGATTAAATTTTTTTGTACATAAGTATTATTTTGTTCTCTATAGCTATCTTTTGGGGGGAAAGAGTTTGCTAAATTTCATATTGGTGCCTGTCATTCCTTGTTCCTTCTTGTTTCTGATGCTTTATTTGGCTTAAAAATTGACTACCTGCTATCTGGAATGCATGGCAATAGGCTTATAAGTCTTAAAGTAATGCTATTGTTGGAGAATGGTAGGTATTGTGATGTCATAGAATATATTACCATATATACCATAATAAAAAACAGCTGTCCATTAGTAGTTTTTAGGACTTTTAAAAAGTGACCACCTTTCCCTTGGTATTCCATATATATGTTGAGATAATTTTTGTATGTGTTTTTCCAAACACTTAGTAGGTATTCAAGTTTTTTCTAAATCATTCATGAAATGACTAACAGTAAAGATAATAGAAAACATTCAGTGCTTAAATAGGAATACCCATTGTTGATAATTTTATTATTGAAAAATTTTGTTTACACATTTGTTTTTATTGCTTATAGTCATTATCCGTTGGTACTGTAACGTTTTGCTTTTGTATTGCAGTGTTTAATGGAAATGAGTGACTCATTTTGAGAAAACCATGGCAAAGTCAAACACAAAACACAGAGTTTGTTGGCGGGAATCTTCAGTATCTTCTCTCTTGGCGAGCTGCAGCCTAAGTGGTAGCAGCTCCTCCAGCTCTGGTGGCTCTTTTCAGTATAAGGACAAATTGTACAGTTCTGCTTCCGAGGCTTTGCAAGCCTATATTGATGATTTTGATCTAAGCAGAGAACATTCAGGAGCAAACACTGGCAGAGTGAACACTGATGAAGAGTCTGGTGATATGCTGCGATTTTCCAGCTGTGTGCATAAACCAAACAATGGTATGCTTGTTTTATTTTTTAGGCTTTCTTGCATTCTTTTATGTTCAGTGATTAACATATTAGAGAGATGTGCCTTATAAAGTTGGATATTTTTTATTTTTGAATAAAGATAACTTATATTGCTGAAGTCTTTATATTTTCTAAATGGGTTGTATACTTGTCAGGATCCCAGGAATTTTTAGTTAAGAACTTTTGACCTTGGAGAGGACACCAGTAAATACAATTAACAATTGTAAGTGGTTGATCCTAAACTCTTAAGCCTTTTTTTCCCTGGCATGATGGAAAGAATATTGCTATTGTTGTCTTAACAAGCTAATGCCTAAATAATCCCAATCACTCTGAGTTTATGCTTGCTCAGTTTCAGCTGGTCAGACAGGAATATTTTTTTTTAGCATTTGTATTCTATATGGATCAATAGTCACAATATACTAAGAGTCTGTCTTTAATAAAGGTTTCATGAATACCAGTCTGGAAAAATGAATTGTTGATAAGCACTCTACTGAACACTTGCAGAAGAGTATAGAATGGGAAGGATGTGGGTGATACATTCTAGAAGAGACCTAGAACAGCATTCTGTGTGGCTATGCCATTGCAGGGTCACTAGGATAGAGAAAGCAAATTGTGTTTCCACCTGGCTTAATAGCACACTTCCCCATGCAGTATTATCCAGTTTTCCATAACCAGCTTTACTGTGATTGTATTAATGTAAAAGGAATGTCTGCATGGGGAATGTTGAAGAAACAGTAAGTTAAAGAACATATACAAAGTCAGCTGATTGCAATATATACGGAAATTAAACACTGAAGAGGTATGAAACAGCATGTTTTATGTTTACCACTTTGTATGTTTAATATTTCCATTCAAAACTAATGATAAAGGGAAAGCACCAAAAAGATTTTTAAATTTTTAATTCTCATTTACTATTGACTATTACATATGATAAAGAAAATAATCAGAATTATGCTTTGCTTTTCAGCTTTTGAAAGTCTTGATCACAAACAGCACACAAAGCCCTTATACTATAGAAGAGAGACTATTAATGATATGGACTCCATTAGCCTAACAACTGATGATTTGTTGAGACTTCCAGCAGACGGATCTTTTTCCTTCATTTCCGTTATACCTGGTCACCGACTAAGCAAGAAAAACAAGAAATACATTGAAACACAGGATTCATCGGACATTAAAAAGAAACCAAATTTTCATGTAGACTTTACTCCCAAGAGCAAGGATAATGTAGTTACTCCTGATGTGTATACAAATGTAAATGGAAAGAAATGTGGTAGGCTCAGAACCCCAAAACCTATGAATAGAAATAATAAACATGTTTTGGAATCATCTTTATCCTTTCCTAAGGAATCATCTTTCAAGGACAGTTCAAATTATCCAAGATGGCTCACTAGCCAGAAATCTGATCTTAATGTCTCAGGGGTAACTAGTATACCTGATTTTAAGTATCCAATTTGGCTCCACAATCAAGACTTGCTACCTGACGCAAATAGTCAAAGTGTTTCTAAATTACTTAATGAAGATGAATATTCCCCTATGCATAGTTACCAGACACAAAGAACTACTCAGCTTACAAATAGAATCAATTGTTTTGAATATTCTTTTCAGCCTTCAAACCTTACAGATTCCTTCATTGAGAATAAAGGATTAGTTAACGAACATAAATGTGATTCTGAAAATGGCCAGTGTCAGTGTGAGAATCCACTTCTCCCAGGACAGTCCCCAAAGCCATTCTGTGGTAATGTTTTGTTTTTTAGTCCTTTAAAACGAAGCATATGTTGAAATTTAACATACTTTGTCAGTTTTATGATGTAATAGCATTTTTATAATGAGAATGATTAGCACTTTAAAGCTTTAGAAGTTCTCTGCTTTCTTTGTTTAAAGTATCATACTCTGTTCTAATTTGTTGTTGTAGATGTGCACATTCCAAATACTCTATTTCCTGTTGACTGTGAGATGTTTTGAGACTTGTGTTTTTTTCTTAAAGAGTGTTTTTAAAATTAGGTGACAAAATTGAATTGCTTATCCTGAAGGCCAAGAAGAATCTCAGACAATCTACTGAAGACTTAGCAAAGCCTGTGGAGAAGGATGACAGCCCTTGTTCCTTAGATAAGCTTGAAGCAGAGCGATCATGGGAAAATGTCCCTGTTACTTTGTAAGTAAGTGACGTTGTTTAGTGCACCAAATGAGAAAGTGCTATGTCCATATCAGATTTTCTTTCCACATCACTTAATAATTAATGGTGGTATGATCCAGCTTTCATATTGTTTAAGTTTTTTTTTCATTTGTTAATACAAGATGATATAATGTTTCATATACATCCATAGAATACATGCTACATGTTCATTTTGTTTTACTGTTGAGTTGTGTGTGTGTATATGTATATGTATATATGATCAAATATATAACTATATGCATATATAATGTAACATGAAAAAACTTATTTTGTAATTGGAGTAGTATTGCTGAATTCTCATTGCTTTTTAAATGTTAAGTCTTCCCGACACTTGTTGTTCACTTCTTGTTTGCAGTTTGATTTTCTCTTTTAAGTCATTGCTCTCATGAGATGACGGTACATTTTAGATATGGTCTGTTGTGGTTTGTAGGGTTCTTTTCTTTTCATTTGTATGCTCAGATTTCCCATGGCACTGTTTTTTAGAATAATTCAAAAAGTGCCTACACACCTAAGATGAGCACGGTGTTGATCAGTGCTTATATAAGGCAATTTCATTAGTCTATTTACTCCATCTGGACTCACCAGAGACGTGTTTTGATATCTCTTCTGTGTCTTAGTAGATTGTCTTCCGGAATTCTGGATCCTTTTTCCTTTTTTTGTGACAGTGTCATGCTCTGTAGCCTAGGCTGGCCTTCAGGTCTCAAGTATGTGGGTTCTTTTCCGTTGTTTCTCAGTTGAATACTTCGATTTGGGATTTCAATGTTTACTGTCATCCTATCCCATCTCTTACTTTTTCCTTTGATATCAGTGTAAGCTCTTTAAGTTTTGAAGATGGAGAAATGATTGATTTGAAAATGGAAGTCTAGTTTCTGACCGAGGGTGATTACTCAGAAAACTATTTTCTCCTTTTAGTTTTATTTCAATAATATCTTTTTAAAAAGGAACTTATAACTAGCTTATTTAATGTTAACTTCCTTCATTTTTCTCATTTCCTAACCAGTTAGTCTTTGTGTTAGCAAAGAATAGATACAATGCTTTGTTTTCAGTTGAGACCAAAGTGAGGGATAAATATCAGTGCTGATTAAGATTAGAATTTTTGAATGTATTTACTATATGTGTTTTGCATTTAGGGTTCTAAAAGTTAGAATGTAGATGCTGGAGAGATGGGGCAGTTGGTGAAGTGCTTGCACAGGACCTGAGAATGGAACCATAGCACCCATGTAAGAAGCCTGGTATAGTGGTGTGCACCTGTAATCCCAGGGCGTGGGGCAGATAAGAGGATCTCTGGGTTTTTAGGTAAACTAGTCTTGCTGATTTGGAAAACCATGGTTCAGGGAGAGACCTTCAAAATAAGGTAGATAATAATAGCTGAATGCATATGAGATTGATCTTGGCCCAAACACATCCATACACCCACTACACACACACACACACACACACACACATCATACACACACACACACACACACACAGTAAAATATAATAAAAAATAATTATACTTGAAACAGATTTTGTTGTGAAATTTTAACTATAAAAATAGGATAGTGTAGTGAATGTCTCTGTGGTCTGTATTGTCAATGAATATCTAAAATTGTACTGTTGAGTGGTGAGCGAAAAGACTACCCAGACTGAGAAAAAGCTTATAGCAAAGTATAAGTTAGATATATCAACAAGGTTGTGCTTCTTACTAAGAAAATAATTAGCATGCAGTGTTTGAATTTTATATAAAGATTACTGGATATTGTGTTTTTAAATTAGTAGTATATCTTTATAGTGATATATAAAGAAACAGGATAATTTCATTTATTTCTGCGACAAATAGAATTTAAATTTGGGAGCATTTTTATTTTGTTGTGAATATTTTACTATTTAGAATGTCAAGAAAGCAGTGACTATTGAGTATATAAAGCACATAGAGAATTAGTTATTTTATAGTACCTTCGTGAAATAAGGACAAGAAATGTAGATGATACCCAGGATTAAACAGGAAAATTACCTGAAGTCATATAGAGGTGGGACTGGGATTAAAATTTTCAGTTTGGGATTTGGATTTTTTTTTAAGATTTACTTATTTATTATGTATACAGTGTTATGCCTGTATGTCTACAGCCCAGAAGAGGGCACCAGATCTTATTATAGATGGTTGTAAGCTGCCATGTGGTTGCTGGGAATTTAACTCAGAACCTCTGGAAGAGCAGCCAGTGCTCTTAACCTCTGAGCCAACTTTCCTAGCCCCAGGATTTAGATTTTAAAATTAAGTTTTCTTTCCTCTCAGTTTTCCCTGTTCTGGATATCTGTTTGTCTTGTCTAGAAGTAGAAGAACATAAAATTGCCACTGAAGTAAAGACTCTGCTGAGTTTTTGATTTTTCTGATTATCATTGGAAAAAACTTGTTTGATATATATGCATGGCATGGGGAATTGAACTCGGAGCCTCCTGATGCTAGGTTAGCATTCTGCTACTGAGCTACACTCTGAGCTTTCCCAGTATTTACTTGGGAAAAGGTACTTGTCAAACACATGAACTTCTGAAGCTATTCCATAACTGGGAGAGTCAGTTGAGGAGTAGTAGTTTACTTTATATATGTATTGTCTATAAAGCTGGAAAGAAGAAGCAAGGGGTACAGAACTGCTCAATTTTGATATGGTTTAGGGACAAGATTAGGGAATTAATACATAACTTTAATATGAGTCATATCTGTAGCATTAGTTTTTTGTTCACAACTTGATTGTTAAGTGTGTGCCTATGTGCAGTTACAGTGTTGTGGAAGCCAGAAGAGGGTGAAATCGATCGATCAATCTGTCTATCTATCTACCTACCTACCTATCTATATATTGTCTGTCCATCCGTCTGTCTGTCTGTCTGTCTATCTGCTGGCACTGAAGTTCCAAGTGGCTATGAGCCACACGATGTGGGTCCTCTGCAATCATAGCAAGTGCTTTTAACTGCTGAGCTGTCTCAGTTATATAATGCCTACTTATTAAACTTTGAGAATTTAATTACTGCTTATATCCTTTAAACCCTGTTTAGTAAATCTCCTGTCCCTGTTAAAGCTGATGACAGTCCTCAACAAAGTTCCAGGACACAATGTACTAATGAGATTCTTGAAGACTTTTTAAATGATGAGAACCAGGTGAGTAAAGTTACTCTTTATAGTGAAAGAAAGTTTGTAGTTATTTTGTAGATACTGATTTCTGTTATTTAATATTTTAAACCAATGAAAAGTTCCCAAATCCATTTTTCTCCAACATACCCACAAAACCATGACTACTTTAATTGCTTTTAGTATTCTAGAGTTGAATTATATATGCAGCTTCAACTGTCATTACATTGTGTCCCCCCACCCCTACCCCTGGAAAACATAAAGGAGACCGTTGTAAGGGGAATGATTTTTCTTTGACGGTCAGTTCCTCAACAGTATACATACCATAATAGTTTAAATTATTACCTTATTTTACAAAGTTTGTTCATATGACTTACAAATATAGATATACATACATGCAATTGAGATATGACACATGATTTGAAATAAAAGTATGAGTATGACTGACATGTTAAGGATTATCAGAATGAGTCAGTGTGGCTCCATCAGAAGAAGCAAACAAAAGAATGGTAAGAAGGTGGCTACGTGCCTAGGAGATTTATGGAGTAGAAAATGCATTGAGACGCTAGAGAAGGAGTAGAGAACTCATGCAGGAGACCATTGCATTCTGCAGAATAGTACAGTAATGATTTGAGTAGAGTGGGCACATTGGAGGTGACCAGCCATTGCTAGCTTTGAGATGTGTCTTGAAGGAATCCAAGATATTCTACACAAGCAGTTAGGTGATGACATTAACTTAGTAGAAGAACATTGGTAGAGAAACAAATGTTAGAACACAACATCAGCTTTGAATATCTTTGCTGTGACTGGGCTGGTGCTGAGCTTGTGTTGAACAAGGGTGGGATGTCTATGAAAGCTGCCTATTAACTTCCTTGTGTTGTGTACCAGGGACCTCTGCTGCCCATTCTTAGATCTGCCCATTCTTAGTCTATGTGTTAGGTACATTTGCTCGACCTCCAGCTACTCTTAAGTTCTTCTGCCTCAAAGTACCTAATATTCTAGCTGGAGAGAAAGTATTAAATATTTTTGCAGTACAGAGAGAAGGCAACTTTACAACTGAGATTCATGTAGGCTGATGTTTTATAAACTCTCAAACATTAACCGTTCTGGTAGAGGGATGTGACTGGATATCATTAGTTTGCTAGAACTTCTGAGTTCTTGGACTCAACAGCAGTAAATCTCATCACTTCAGAGTTACATACACTTGCTCACCTCAGACTCTTGACTATAAGAGTCCAGTGTTTTTCTCATTTGATGAAGCTACTTAGGGTGAGTCTCCTTCCCCCTGTAGCATTTACTACCTGGGCTAAACCAGCTGATGTTTGCATCTTATCTGTCTGTCTGCCTGTCTGTCTGTCATCTATTTATGTAGCTTAGTAGTGTCTCCCAGCATCTATTTCAGCAGCAGGTTGAATTTAGGCTCCCAGTTCTTAGGCTCCAGGGTATCTTAATTTAAACAAATAGGTACTGTGGTAGTCGGAGTGATAGTGGCGCCCATATTTTCATGTTTGAGTTCGTGGTCCTCAGTTGGTGGAACTGTTTGGGAAGGATTAGGAGGTGTAGACTTGTTGAGGAAGTCTGTGGTTTTACTCTTAGGCCTTGGGCTTTGAGGTTTCAAAATACTTGCACCATTCCCAATGTGTTTTCTCTCTGCCTCCTACTTGTAGATCAAGATGTGAATTCCCATCTATTCTTGCTACTGTCATGGGCTCTTAACCCATGAAACTGTAAGCCCAGACAAATGCTTTCTTTTGTAAGTTGCCTTGGTCATGGTATTGTAGTGCAACAACAATAACAAAAATACCTAAGACTAGTACCGTCTCAAGATGCCATGTAGCAGAGGTGCTCTCCATTGCTCCTCCATCCTGCTGGAGAAGTCACAAAAGAAGTTAACAAAACTTTTAGCCACTTCTGAAGCTTGAGAGAACTGTGATCTGATCTTGTGGGTAAGCCTGCTTGTCCGCGTTCACTAGGATTACCTCAATTACCTTGTGATGGAGCTTCTGTTTCCTACTTGTTACCAGAGAGCTGTTGGGCTCGGCTTACTTTCCACTGAGTTACCTTTCTGTTTCTCTGCACTGCTTAGCTGTCCTGTCTTATTTTCTCAATTTCCATAGGCCACTCTTTGTTTCCTCTGGGATAGTGTCTGATTTTTTTCTTGTTCTGATACTTCTCCATAACCAACTCACATGGAGGTAGCTTTTAGTATGTTACTTAGAAGAAGTTTAACTAGTTTTCTGAATGTGTGAAACATGACTGGATCAGAAGAACAAAAATGATGTCCTCAGAAACATTCACTATTAGATTTCAGTGATAGGTCTCAGAATATTGAGTGATGAGTACTGATGTTCAGCCTAACTGGATCCTTACACTGTTGCTCTTTCTGAGCTTTTATTTTATTGTAGTTAAGTATACTTGACATAAAATACACTGTTAATTCATTCTTAAGTATATAGTTCAGTGACATTTTTAATAACTTGATAGTCTTACAGTCCACCAACAACTGTGTCCAGAACCTTTTCATCTCTCCAAACTAAATCTCATTACCATTTTAAGCATTTATTGTTACTCATTCTTCTCCCCCACCTCCTGATGAAAGGAATATGTTTTTAGTAACTGTGAAGTAGCCACTTAGGAACTCCTAAGAAATGTCATGAGCCAGTGACACTCAAAGTGGAAGTAGGTATACATTCCCAAATAGTTGAATAAATTAAATATCCTTATGACTATCTTCAAAGGATCCTGTATACTTAAGTACTGTCACGCTCTTTGAATACATGGAAAGTTAGCAATTTGGTTGTTAGGCTTTTAAATGGAAGGCTCTAAAGAGGGAAAAAGATGACATCTCTTTATGAAAACATAATACACATGCATGCACACACATACACTCACATATACAATTGAAAATCTAGTTTTAAATCTCAGGTCTATATAAGAGGAAAGGCAGTGTTTCTGAGTTTAGCTCATTTTCTACATGATTTCTAGTTTCATTCATTTTCATGCAAATGTGATTTTTTTCTTTGCGCCTGCATAAAGTTTTGTTGTTATTTATGTATCACATTTTCTTTATGTATTCACCTGTTGCTGGACATCAAGGTTGGATCTATTTCCTGGCCATTATGAAGAGTACAGAAGTACACATGGATGTGCACATGTCTCTGGCATGTTCTTGTAGTTCTTTGAGTATATAACATGAATAGTAGCTGGGTCATATGGCAGTTCTTTTTTCAGTTTTTGGGGACTAGTCATTCTATTTACATAGTGACTACAAAAATGGTACATTTTCACAAGCCAGTGAGTAAGGTTTCCTCTTTCCCTTATCCAGACCAGTGAAAGCATACTTGAAAGTGTGTTGAGAAAGATTTATCTGAAATCTAGCTCTCACTCAGTTGGTAACTAATTTCTTTTAGACATTTGAAAAGAACATTTTGGTTTACCTGGATTCTGAAGAAATTTTTGTCTAAAAGCTGTGGTTTTAAAATGTTAAGTAAATCTATAATATTAACTTTAAAATAACAAGGATTAGGAGGAATATGCTAAACTGCTTATTACTATTTATATTCACCTGGAGACTAGGTATGGAGAGGCGGCAAATTAGTAGTTTTGATTTTTAAGAACATTTTCTTTGATTGGTCTTCTCCAGTGGAGTGACACTGGATGTATCAACAACACTCCAAGTCAGGCACATGCCTAGGAGTAGTTAGCCAACACAGCACATAACACACACACACACACACACACACACACACACACACACACACACACACACACGCACACACTTTTTCTTTGAGAATTATATATATATATATAATGAAATACACAACATACAACACACACTTTTTCTTTGAGAAGTTTATATATATATATATATATATATATATATATATATATATAAAATGAAATACTTTCACCCTCCAAATTCTCCCATATGATGCCCCCCTCTCAGCTTCATGTCTTGTTTTCTTTTGTTGTCATTGTTGTTTGTTTCAGTAACACTAAATCCAGTTCTGTCCATATGTGATGGGTGTGGCATCATCCACTGGAGCAGAGAAACCTACCAATGGCCACATCCTCATATGGGCCCTCTCCCATAAACTTGTCAGTTCCTAGTCACTCTTCAGTGAAGGATGGGCCTGGAGATCGTTTATGTCATCTATTCTGGGATGTTGACTGGTTCCTCTTCTCTAGCTCTTATACATGCAACCAGAGCTGCTGTGAGCTCCACAGGACAGGACAGTATACCTCTCCCATGGTGTTCCCTTAGCCATGTGGCACTAATATAGATGTCTGAGAATTCACTCTTGTGTTCTCATCATTTTAACTAGTTTCACATCTCTCCATTGACTGTACTGTCCACTACAAAAAGAAGCTGCTCTGCCAAGGCTGAGAGCAGCCCAGAACTACAACTTGCCTACTTAGCAGAATAACAGTAGTAAAGTTCTGCTTTAGACCTGTGACCTCCTGTAGCCATGGGCTGCTGACCAGACATCATAAAATTCCCTTCTGTGGCTCATTCCTGAAGTCCTATCAGAAAGTACTACCCTGTAGCAGTCATGGTGCTGCTACACTGGTAGGCACATCTTTTCTGGCAGGTTGAGCAGCTTGCAGGGGCCAGTGCTACGTAAGACCACAGATATAACAGATTTGATTTTTAAAAACCAATTTTAACACATTGTCTGGGTTTTTGCATTAATTCTTTGCTGAGGAATATTATAGAAACAATGTCCTTTTTTCCTTTTATACTTGAATAGTTTAATTTTATCATCTCATTTAACTTTAGAGCTCTACCCTATCTGGAGGCAAGCATCATGGTCCTGTTGAAGCCTTGAAACAAATGTTATTTAACCTCCAAGCAGTGCAAGAAAGTTTTAATCAGAAAAAAAATACAGAGTCAAAAGAAGAGATCAAGCAAGTAAGCATGAACTTAAGAACTGAGATGTATGATTTTATCTAAAATTGTATGTTATTTTTCTCATCACAGTGGCAGAATATATGACATAAACATGATTTATTTTGACTTGTAGTTTCAGAGCTTTCAGTTCATAATCAGTTCACTGATTCTGGGTCCACGATGGGCAGAACATCAAGGTAGCGTGGTGTTAGGGAGTAGGAAGGGGAGAGGCTGTGCATCTCATGATCCTACTAAGGCAAAAGCGTGAGGAAGGGACTGGAGAGCATATGTAACCTTTGAAGACAGGCCCCAGTGAGCAATTTCTTCCAGTTAGGTCCTGTCTCTCAGTTTTTACCACTTCTCAAAATAGTGCTGCTATTTGAGAATCAACACTTGAGCTATAGGAGCATTCATATTCAAACTTATTTTTGTTACTATGTGTTTATTGGCACTTCTGAGGACAACATTTTTTTAATTTATGCATTTCTTAGAAATTTTGGAAAATTTGTTCCTGCTTCATATTATTCTGTAGAGGATTAATTTTCAAAGTACAGGACCATAGAGTTTATATTTTCCCATATCTACTTGCAGTGAACTTCTAACTGCCACTTAACTAGCAAGTGGGACATGAATATAAACTAATTAACCTGTTTACTTTCAGTTTTATTTTCTTTTTGTGACAAAAAATCGATATTTCTTATGTAATATGATACCTTAAATCGGTATAAATTATGGAATAGCTAAATCAAGCTAATTGATGTATATTACCTTCTATAGGTACTTTTTTAAATCATGAGAACATTTAGAATCTCCTTGAAATTTTCAAGTTGATAATACATTATTAACTATGACCACCGTAGTTATATAGTGGCTAATTTGAACTTATCCTTCCTGAGTGTAATTTTATATACTTATCAACATCTCATCTGTCATTGCTCAGCTAGCCTCTAGTTTACTGTGTGATCCACTGACTGGAGCAATAGCTCAGTGACTAAGAAGGCTTGTTGTTACAGAATGCTCAAGTCTGGTTCCCAGCACCCATGCTGGGTGGCTCCCAACTGCCCGTAACAATAGTCCCAGGGTTTTAACAGTTGTTCCTTTCACATTCCATATGTAAGTGAGATTATGCATTGTTTGAATTTCTGTGCCTGACTTTTTTTTCCTGATCAGTTTTCTTGCCATTCACTAGAGCTTTTTTCTAGTCAGTGAGCTTGATGAATGAATCAGCATTAGTATCCCAACCTGTTTGTTTAAATTACAGTATTCATTTTTTTCTCCTGGTGCTCTAATCATAGCATTAAGGTACTATATAACCCATCCTTCACTAACTCTTTTAAACATCACTGACACATAACCTCTTATGTGAAGATGTAATTTCTTTTTTGTTTTTATTTAGAAACAGTCTTATTTTACATATCAATCTCTCTGTTCCCTCTCCCTCCCATCTTCCCATGCTCCCCACCAGCTCCCCCAACCCACCCTCCCACCCACTCCCCAAGAATAGTGAGGCCTTTCATGGGGCATCATCAAAGTCTGTCACATCATTTGGGGGGAGGCCTAGGTCCTCCTCCATGTATCTGGGATGAAATAGTAACCCTCCATAGGGAATGGGCTCTCAAAGTCCATTTGTGCAGTATGGAGAAATACTGGTTCCACTGTTAGAGGTCCCATAGACTGCTCAGGCCTCCTACATTCAGAGGGCTTGGTTCGGTCCAATGTTGGTTACCCAGCTTTACGACTGGAGTCTGTGTGTGTGCTCTTACTACGTCAGGTCAGCTGTTTCTGTAGTTTTCTCCAGCACAGTATTGACTGCTTTGCTCATCCTCCCTTTCCTTTCAACAACTGGATTCCAGGAGTCTGGCTCAGTGCTTAGCTGTGGGTGTCTGCTTCCACTTCCATCAGTTACTGGATGAAGGCTGTAGGATGGCAATTAAGGGAGTCATCAATCTCATTATAGGGGAAAGGCATCAAAGGCAGCCTCTCCACTACTGCCTAGATTCTTAGTTGGGATGGGGATCATCTTTTGGATCTCTGGACATTTCCCCAGTGCTGGATTTCTCTTTAAACCTATACTGGCTCCCTCTATTAAGGTATCTCTTTTCTTGCTCTTCTTTATTCCTCCCCTGTTTCAGTGTTCCTGGTCCCTCTTGTTCTCCTCTCCCCTCCTTTTCCCCCCTTCTCTTTTTCCAACCTCCCTCCTCCCCCCCTTCCCCTGCTCCCAATTTGCTCAGGAGTTCTTGTCCCTTTCCCATGAAGATGTAATTTCAAGCTAAAGTAAGATTCTTTAATGCATGTATGTTTAGAAGCATATTTTAGAAGAATTGAACAATGAGTAAGTAGTTGTAGTTTTAGAATGAAGGAAAAATGAGAGTACTAATTGATCTCCAAAAATAATTTGGTATAGCTAATTATTTAATTTTTTTTATTTTAAAAATAGGTGTCAGAGGATGATTTCTCTGAGTTGCAATTGAAGGAAAATATGATTCCGATTACTAGGTCTCTTCAAAAGTAAGTATTCTTTACTAATATGAACAAAAATCTAATTTAGTCATTCCCTTGACAAAAATCAAGGTGGAATTCAGTAATATAGCTTGTGGCTGACTTTGTTTTCTGAATCCTCAGGCAAGCTTTAATAAATCATAAATAATTTATCACTACAATACTTCCCACCTCTGAAGTAGAATGTTTTGTGTAACAGTACATTTAATTTTCTTAGTCATTTTGTCCTAAATAATAATGCAGTAAACACTACAAGTTGTTTGTATTGTCATGCAATAAGGGTTCTTTATGTTTGCATTTGGTTATAGAAATATAAAATGCGATAATCTCTGAATATTTGGAGGAATGGGTGTGAAATAGATTCCCCGTTTGGGTTTGAGCACTCCTTTATTTTTTATTTACTGTATGTTGGCCAGATGTGGGCCCTATGTTAATTACCCTCTTCTACAAAAATAATTTTCTCTGATGAATGTTGTGTGAAGGGTCATTAGGAGTCAGTGTAATACTGTGTATATTTAGAAGAATAATAGTAGCAGGTTCTCCCCTAGGGCCTATGGCCACCTAGCCATGAGTTCTTGGCCATATTAGTGTAAACAAATGTTAAATATGTGAACAAATATTAATTGATCAGTGACCTTGAATCCAATAGAAAGTGGCATATCTTGCCAGGGTGATAGTTGAGCTCATAGGGTTCACAGTTAGGTAGGATTGATAATTAATTGTTTCCTTAACATGCATAGTGTCTTTCAGTACTGTGAATACTAAGCAGTAAGGATGAAGCTTTCACATTGGTACTAGTTTGATTTCTTTATGTTCTATGACTCAAGTATGTAGTGTTTTCATCAATAGGGTTTTATACCATCAACTTCTTGAGGGTAACCAAGAACAGTGACCATAAACTAATATTTGAGGGAGATTGTAGGACTTCACAGACAAACATTTTGGGAAGAGATAACTCCTATCTGGCTTTTGGGTTTTCTGTTTCATAACCTGTGGTGTCTAGGAGAAGCATTGTCCCACTGTAAATCGGTAATTCCGTATAAACTCTTTATATGTGCATGTATATATTTTAGGAAGCTTCTACAAGTCTTAGATTTCTACAGTTTTTCAAGATTCTTCAATATTATACTTCTTCAATTCTATACTCCTTTTACCTTGCTTACCCATTCACTACCCCACTTAATCCTTCTTGCTCTATTAGCTTCCATTCCTGCTTCATCCCCACCTGTTTCCTATCTCCTTTCCTTTGAAAACCCCTTCTACCCATGACTCCTTACTAGTTCCCTATCTTCTGTGGGCAGTATGTCTCAAGATTCAAAGCTACTATCTACATGAGAGAACATGTGACAGTTTTCTTTCTGGGTCTGAGTGAGTTTCACTCAATGATTATTTTTAGCTTCATTTATCTGAGAGTTTCATTTTTCTTAAGAGCTGAATATTATTTCATTGTCTAAGGTACTACATTTTCATTATCTGTTTAAACAGTTAATGCACATCTAGGCTAATTTCATTTCTTGGCTATTGTGAAAAGAACAACAATGAACATAGATGAGCAAATATCTCTATAGTAAGATCTAGAGTCTTGAGAATTAGGAAATATACCTAGATCATATGGTACATCTATGTCTCAGTTTATTAGTAACCTCCATATTGGTTTCCATAGTGACTACACCAATTTTCTCTAGCACCAACAATGCATATGTGTTTCTTTTTCCATATTCATTCTATCATTTGTTGTCATTTTTTAAAATCTTAGCCATTCTGACTAAAGTAATATGAAGTCTCAAACTACATTTAGTTCTTATTTCCCTGATGACTAAGGATGTTAGGAAAATATATATCAGTTGCTTGTATTTCTTCTTTGGAGAACTGTTATAATTATGTGTTTCAATTAAAACTTTTTGTTGGATTTACTTTTGTTTTTATATTGTGTGTATGAATGTTTTACCTACATGTGTATATGTATCACATGTGTACCTAGTCCCTTGTGAAAGTCAGGAGAAGGCATTGGATCCCTGGAACTGGAGTTATGGGTGGTTGTGAGCCACTGTATGGGAGCTGGGAAATGGACCCACCAAGTCTTCTACAAGAGTAAAGTGCTTTTTAACCACTGAACTGACTTTCTAGTGCTAACTGGGATTTTTTTTGGTGTTTAGGTTTTTTGAGGTCTTCATATAGTCTGGACACTAAACCTGTGTCAGCTGTATAGCTGGTACAGATTTTTTTCTGCCTCTGTAGGCTGTCTCTTTACTTATAAGGTGGTGTCCTTTGCCATAAAGAAATGTTATAGTTTCGTGAGGTGTCTAATTATTAGTCTTAATGTCTGAACTCCTGGGTTTTCCTGTTCAGAAAGTTCCTTCCAGTACCTACAAGTTTAAGTATATTTCCTAATTCTCCTCTATCAGATTCAGATTATTGGGTCTAATGTTGAGATCCGATGTATTTGGAATTATTTTGTGAAGAGTGAGAGACAGGAATTGAGTTCCATTCTTCTACATGTAGTTATTGAGTTTGACCAATACTATTTGCCAAAGATATGATCTTTTATCTGTTGTGTATTTTGAAAAAAATCTAGATTATTAATGTATGCATTAGTCAGTCTTACTGGAGAAATTACTTGCTTTCCTTCTGAATAAAAATGAGTTTACTGAGAAGTTTTACTGGTTTTTAAGTGTTGTTTTTAGAATTTAAGCTATCATTACTATAACTATTAAATGAATTATGTGCCTTGCTTCCTAGATGATCCATATAGCATGGCAAAAGAAAAAATAGTTTTGCAGAATTGTTGGCAAAATTATATGAAAAATGTTTTTTAAATACAGTACATGCAATACTATTTTTTATTAGGCTTAGGCAGATTAACTAAAAATTGAATATCAGATATTTCAAGCAAATATTTATAGAATGTTAACTTATTTTAGTTCTCACTTGTTCAGATGTCAAAGTTTATAAGAAGTAGTTATCAAAGTTTTATGTTTTTCTGTAACTTCATTTTGAAGTCAATAAATAATGTAATCACTATTCCTTACTTTCTACATTGGCTACTCAGTTCTCAATACTGGTTTATAATGTACTTTTTGTTTTTTTTTTTTTAATGAAGGGCCCTACAACATTTATCACGCCTGAGAGATCTGGTCGATGATACCAGTGGGAAACAGTCACCAAAAATGTGAAGAGGAAAATAAAACTTAAACCACAATAAAACAGTCACCATAAATTCATTATGTACTTTTGCTGTTACTTACATTTACAAAGTAAATATAAACCATATATTTTTCTATGTTTACATCAAGTATATTCCTAATAATCTAAACTTGGAAATATCCATAGGCTTGCTTTCATACAAAAACAGGACTGGAAGACACTAAAATATGTCCTGAAGTCGTAGTTGGATCTTCAAACCAAAAAATGTTTAATAGTCAAAAGTGGGTAATTTCCTTCCTTGCCATTTATCTAGACCCAGCTTTTATTGACATTCTCACCATTAGTCATTTAGTTCTTTGACATTAAGGAACTTTTCAGTCTCTACCCTAATTTTATATTTGTGTGTGTGTATACTAAATGTAGTTAAGCAGTTTAAGAAATAGCTTAAATTCTTGTATCATATGGGATTTTGTTGTTTCTGCGATTTCATAACTTGAATATTTAAGATGTTATATTTGTAAATAACAGTTATTTACAATAATTGGCGGCTCAGTGCTAATGGAATGTTTTTTTATTGTGTTACCAGAGAACTGCCTTATTTAATTAATGCTTTGATTCTTTGTAAGATAATCTTGATAATACTTGACAATTCACAAATTGTTTTAGAGAGTATTTTGAGAATTTAATATTTGAAATGTAGTTATTGCCTAGATTTTAGTTTTAGATTAATCCCAATCATTAATAGCTATAGATTTATGACAAATCTGAAACTAAACAAAAAATGAGTGTGGAAAATCCAAAAATGATTGTAGTTTAAAACTATTTCCTATAGTTTCCTGAATAATTTATCTCTAGATAGAACTGAACAGAGCTGTGTTTTGCAGTTTCTACTGAGTGTTAATATTTAAGGTTAGTAGGAAACATCTTAATCAATGAGACTAAAATTATGTAATAAAGCATAAGTAATACATTTAAAAATGATGAAATTAAAGAGTGCATGCTAATATGATAAAATACTACAAATTAACATTTTACCCAAATGACTGTATCTTTAATAAATAAATTTATTGTTATGTAGAATTTCTAAGCACATATGGCCAAAGAATTTTTTCTCAAGCTATTAAGGCGCTGTCTTTTTGTGTTCCCTAGCCAGTGAAGTTTCCAACCTATTTGTCTGACTAGTTTGAGAAGCTCTTTCCAGTAGATTTGTTAGCACTAAGATCTCGTTGCTGCTGACATTCTATTTTGTGAGATGTTCTGCTGTTTACTAAGATCTCGTTGCTGCTGACATTCTATTTTGTGAGATGTTCTGCTGTGTAGCAAACGGCTTATGTAACCAAATGTAGAGTTACTTTAAAGATTAAGTTATGCCTGGCTTTTAAAAGGAAGATTATAACAGGTTTATGTCAGGTAAGTCTGGGAGAGCCGTTTCACCTAGTAAAGTACACTACAGACAATTTCTAAAGAGAAAACCAGGCTGTAAGTTCCAATTACATATTAATTATATGTTTGCCATACATAACATAGCTCATTGCTGGGAAGCATCAGCAAAGACATGCTGCAGAAATGACTGACGAACATTCATTTGCAAGAGCATATCTCTGATACTAAATATAACCAGCTCATTCTAAAATTATGTTACAGCTTATCTTAAAGCAGTTTTATATTACCCAAGGAGCATTATTTTTTCTTTTATAATATATATGAAGAAAGATAGATTTTACCTAAATAAAAGGAATTGATTGAATCAGTTATTAATCCCAATATATTTAGGAGAAACAAGTGAAAAGTAAATCTAAATGCTCATTAAATTTTGCAAAGAATCATTGAGTTTACATGTATAATTAATATTACAGAGATTTTTCTTTAAAGTTTTGGAGGAAAATGTCAAAACAGAGGTTGTTGAGTTGAGAATTTAATTAGATAATGAAAACATTAGATTTTAAAGCTGTATTATAAATGTAAAATTGTATTAATTCACCACTCTCATTTTTAAGGTATATTGCTGGGAAAATGTTAAATAGGAAAAGGGAAGAGGTTTCAAGGTTTTGAGCACAACAGATTTAAAAATGAAAAGGTATAGTGGGGTGTAGTAGTGCACTCGGGAGGCAGAGGCAGGCTGATCTGTGAGGCCAGCCTGGTAGACATAGTGAATTCCACCTCACTCAGAGGTACACAGTGCCATGCTAGCTCTCAGAGCCATAAAAGTAAAAATGTCACATGGTATGGAGAGATGGCTCTATTGATGAAGGGCTTGCTGCTCATGTATAATTCATTTTTTTAAAGCCAGGCATGGCAAAGCATACTTTAATTCCAGTCTTGGAGAGGCTGAGAGAAGAGGACTCCTACAGCTTGCTGGTCAGCTTTGGAGTCTAATGAGTGAGTTCTATCTCAGAGATACTTTTTAAGTAAGGGAGACAGACATTCCTGGGTCATGACACCCAAGGTTGTCCCCTAGGTGTATGCACACATAGTCAAGGTAGTTTCAAAATATTTGACATCAGGAATTAAAGATATGGACAAATAAGTCAAGACTGAAATATACTGTCCTTATTATCAGTGTGAATTCATCATTCAGCTTCATTGAGATTTCTGACCAAATTCAGGACCTGTCTCCTTGAATTTGCTTTGGTATATGTTTCTGTAGTCAGATTATTTTTTGGCAAAATTTATAAGTTAGGGGGTTTTCTGGTACTTATTATTTTGTACTTAATGTTCTAGGCTAATGTCTTCTAAATGCAGTTATAAAATAAAATTCTCAATTAGTGAAGAGATGACAGAGGACCTACCTAAGTTTGTTTCTAAGCACCCAAGTTGGGTAGCTCACAACCATCTGTAATTCCAGTGCCAAGGTTCAGTACTCTCTTCTGATCTCTGAGGGCTCCTGCACACATGGCATTCATTCATACTGTGAAACACACTGGAATAAAAATACTCATCTTGAACTGGCAATTATTTCTCCTATGTTTTGAATACATGGATTTCCTCTTAATAGATTTAATTTCTTTTTTCTCCTTCACCCTTTACAATATATTTCAAAACCTATTTGGTGGAAGAAGTGCTGCCTTGACTCTTGGTGTTTTAAATTCTGAGTTTGGACAGTCACATGATATGGACACAAAAATCACATTATGCTAAGTGTCATGGGACCTTTTTTCCCTTAAAGTCCTCTGCTTCCTATTTATCACATCCACCCATATAAAGCAGCTTTAAAATGAGGTAAGTCATACTTCAGATTTATTTCCTTTTTAATATTTCTGATATCCTTTAAATAGGATCAGAAGTTTTCTAACTCTTATAGCTGGGCATAGCTACTCTGATTACTTGAACTCTGAACATTTGGGGATTTAAAGTTTTTTGATATTTTGCATTTTACTAGATACGCAATCCATTTTACAAATGTAGAACTAATGGAAGGGCCATTTTCCATATCTGGCTGTCTTAGTTGCTTTGTCCTGCTGTGATAGGGTATCCAAGACTGGGTAATTCATAAAGTCCCTTTTCTAGTTCCGGAAGGTGAGAGGTCATATCAAAATGCCACCATCCCTAGCTGTCTGTATGTAGAGGGTTACTTTGCTTCTGAGATGCTGACTGGCCACATTCTCCAAAGGAGAGGAAGGAATGCTGTTTGTGCGTGTAGTGAAGGCAAAAGGAAACAAGTTTCTTATGTCAGGCAAGCCCTTTATAATTACATTCATCCATCCATTCATAATAAAGTCCTTATGACTTCAATACTTTTCTGAATGTCATGTCTTTTAATGCCGTTGAGTTGGGAGTTTGTAATGCATGGATGTAGGGGGGGGGACTCAAACAGAACAAAACACTGCTTTTGCATCATACTGCTTTGAACCTGGCTTGATGACGACTATCAGTTTGGGTCTAATAGAGAAATAAATTTGATAGTGATTGAAAACATGGGGATGTTAATAATTTTAAAAAATTTAAAAGATGTGAAAGAACTCTTACTTGATAGATAGAGCTGAAGAAAGACAGATTCAGAAAAGATGGGAACAAATCAATATTAGGACCTTACTAAAGTATCTGGAGTCCACTAGATGGCAGATGGATGTTACTATCTTGGCCACATTTGATCTCATCTTTACTCACTAGGTAGATAGCCGGTCTCCATGGTGCAGAAAAGTTGTTGACAATGTGTTTTAGTTTTGTTTCCTGTTGCTGTAATAAGATGGTCTGATGACAGAAGGTTTTTATTAGCTCAGAGTTCAACATAGCATTCCATCACTGACAGAAAGTCAAGGCAGCAGGAAGTTGAAGCAGCTAGTCACATTGCACCCCCACAAACAGAAGTCTGAGACCTGGGAATGTATGCTGTTGCCATCGAGCTGTCTTATTTAGTGTGGCATCCTCTGCTTAAAATGAAGATGAGTCCTTCTGCAGAAGTTAAGACAATCTTGCCAGGCATGCTCCATTTCTCAAAATTCTAGGTCCTATTAAGTTGAACGTACCACCCATCACAGTGAGTGGGCACGCAGAGAATCATGCAGAGTGAACAGGAGCTGACCAGAGTCTGAAGGAAACTTCTAGCCTGGCATTGGAAGTAATAAAGAACAGCATATTCTGGGGTAGAGATTGGGACAGAGTGGTAGCTCATATCTTAATAGTACACTTCCTTTACTGATAGTGCAGTTGCTAGAAATCAATAGGAAGAGCCCCTTCAGGATAAATTTACACTGAAGATCTTTAAAATGTTCACTAGCACAGTTGTTGATCAGATTCTAGTAAGGCATTTTTTGGAGGAAACATGAAATGTCATAGCTTTCTACTCGTGCCTCCCTTGTTTTGTGGTGGTGGCACACGCCTTTAATCCCAGCACTTGGGAAGCAGAGGCAGGCACATCTCTTTGAGTTTGAGACCATCTTGGTCTACAAGAGCGAGTTCCAGGACAGGCTCCAAAGCTACACAGAGAAACTCTGTCCCAAAAAACCAAAACCAAACAAATAAATAAATGTCATGTAACTTAGAAAAATCAAAGAACGGTGAAAAAGTTTGAGTTAGTGTTTTCAAACACTAATGAATCTGATAGCTTCATAAGAGAAAATAAATCTGATAGCTTCATAAGAGAAAACTATTCATTAGATAGAAATCTGGACCTGTGGTAAGAATTCTTGAGTTGTTTTTGGTGATTGGAGCCTGGAGTATGTGTTTCCATGTTCTTGTCCTCTTATTTAAATAATTGAAAATATAGGTTCACTCAGCTTTGTAAAAGAAGCAAGATGATTTTATTTGGAGACAAGTGATAGTGATATTAAAGGAGTGTGTGCTGTGAAGATTGACTGCAAGGAGGATGTGCTGTGATCACAGGAGAATATGAAGTAAAGATTGATCACAAGCCACATGAGTGAACATCCAGGAGCCCCAGTTACTGTTTAAAGCTCTCCTTTATGTGGCTCATGAGGAAGAGATGGTTAATAACGGGCATAGTTTGGGTGGTTTCTGTTTCAATTAGGTTGTGTCCCTTCCTATAACATATCTGTTTTAATCATATGCATGCCAGTTATTCATAGGGATATAGTGATAAAAGGGATTTTCCCTAAAAGGTTACTAATGAAAACAGTTTTTTTTTTTCTGCTCATACACTCCTAAACAGTTGAGGTTGAATTGGCCCTCCTTAGGAATACACTTGGGTACTCTAAATTTGATTATTTCCAGGGGTGGCAAAACTACCATTGTTCAAAGATGGTAGTGTGTGTAGCCTGATACAGATCAGGGGTTGAGGGGGCTCCCAAGTGTATGCCTAGAGAGGGGTGTGTGTTCATATACATACAAGTGAAGGAACTAGGCTTCTTACAAGAGTAGAGTTGTGCGTAACCCCAAATCAAATGGGGGGTCTCAGAGTACAGAACTGTCTCCCCTCTTGTGAACTGCAGAGTTACCTGAATGTTTTCCTTGAAGAAAACATCAGGTGCAATTACAGAGTATTCCTTTTGTTAAGGTGACCATTTAACTTTCCTGTAAATATTTCTAGAAATAGAAAACTATAATTGGAGTTCTTTATTCCTTTTTCTTGCTTCAGTTAAGCTGTTATTTCATTTCTCTGCCACCTACAGATCATTTATAAT